AACTGAGGAAGTAATCCGTACGCTCCCATACTGGTAAAACCCACGTGTACCAAACCAACCAGAAACCACCATGAAGGGAAACTACAGGGAAACTACTGCTTTCTCTCCACCAGTGCAGACTGACATGAATGCCACTTCCAGTTTCACGCAATTCAAGTAAAGAAAGAAAGATTTAAAACATTACAATTTCTTCAAAAGTGTCATAAAATAGTTCCGTTTAAAACAAAATTATTAAACACAAACAGTTAAAAAATAACATAACTTTCTTTGAAATATTAGGGTTAGGTTGTTTAATCAACATTCAACTGTAATAATGTTTATGTGACACAACTTAAAATAATAAAAACTGCATCCCATTTTGATGCCTGCCCAATTCAGTGCAGTTTAATAATGTATAAAAAGAGATGCTCCACTATTAACACACATATTTTTTAAGGGAGGTTATAGATTTAACTGTATACAAAACTGTGTGCATTAAAAAAAAAAAAGAAAGAAAGAAAGAAGGAAAGAAAGAGAGAGAAAGAAAGAGAGAGGGGAAAAGGGAAGAGCTCTGGCAAATAGAACTGTGAGCTACATTCTGTCCTTAGGTACCCTGTTACGAGTAAGAGCAGAATCCACATCACAGAATTTTTAGAGTAGACTTGGTATAAGAGCTTAGTTGCAAAGCAGCCAACCTAAGTGGAATGGTTTGGATCACTTACAGTAACTGCTACTCTCATTTATTAATGTGACTTACAAGGAAGAAATATTACCTTGCACTTGGCCACGTTTCTTCATGAAGTGGGCACTTAAGAAGATTTTGTATGCCATGTTAGAATTCTTAGTTGCAAAATCATGAAAAAGACGTTTTGTGGCCAAATGTTGTCAGGGCAAAAAATAATAATAATAATAATTAATCAGTTCTGTTCTGCTTTTGCATCTTGGCATGAGCTACTGCACTAATAGTCCATGCTGGAATAACGAGACGTTAAATTATGGAAGATGTATGTAGAATCCAGGCGGCTGTCTAAAATAATCCACAAAATATTCCAGCACTAGCTGGTGGGGGAGATGGGGGAAAAAAAGAGCGAGTGTTTCCCATGGCCATTCCTGAAATGTGTGTAATGCAATTTAACTGAATATCATATTCTTTAAGGACAGGGCACTTTCCAGCTTCCTTGGCTATAAGAATCATAGAACTGTAGAATGGCTAGGATTGGAAAAGAACTTCCAGACCGTGCAGTTGCAGCTCTTCTGCTGGGCTGCCCCCCAGCAGCTCAGCTGCCCAGGGCCCCATCCAGCCTGGCCTGGAGCGCCTCCAGGGATGGGGCACCACAGCTTCTCTGGGCAGCTGTGCCAGGGCCTCTCCGCCCTCTGAGTAAAGAATTTCTTCTTAATGTCTAACCTAAACCTCCCCTTTTTTAAGGTAAAACTATTCACTCGTGTCTTATTCCCTGCAAAAAGTTATTCTCCCTCCTGTTTATAAGCTCCTTTAAAGTAACGGAAGGCCGCTAGTTCTCTATAGAGCCTTTTCTTCTCCAGACAGAACAAGCCCAGCTCCTTCAGCCTTTTTCACAGTAGAGGTGCTCCAACACTCTGATCATACCCGTGGTCTTCTCCAGACCTAATCCAACAGTTTCACATCCTTTTTGTGCAAGGGACCCCAGACCTGAATGCAGTACTCTGAATGGGACCTCGTGAGGGTGGAGCAAGAGGGGACAGTCCCCTCCCTCGCCTTGCTGCCACCACTCTGTTGATGCAGCCCAGGGCACAGTTGGCCTAACAGGCCGCGAGTACAACTGCTGGCTCACATTCAGCTTTTCATCATCAGAACCCCAAGTCTCTCTGCATAGGGCTGCTCTGAAATTCTCCCAGTCTGTACACATACTTGGGATGGTCCTGATTCTAGTGCAGCTTCTTGCACTTGGCCTTGTTAAACATCATCATGTACATGTGGTCCCACTCACCAAGCTTGTCCAGGTACCTTCTCACGACATTATTTCCCTCTAGTGTATCAACAGCACCACTCAGCTCAGTGTCATCAGCAAACTTGCAGGGAGCGTGCTCAATCCCTCTGCCTGTGTCAGTGATAAAGATGCTGAAGTGTGTCAGCTGTGAGACATATCCATGAGGGACACAACTCCTTATCATGGACATGGAGCTGTTGGCCATAACCCAGATCTTCCTTTCTCCCTTTCTTAAAAATGGGACTCACCAGGGACTTTGCTTCGTAGCCATGACCTCTCAAATATGATCGAGAGTGACTTGGCAGCTACATCAGGCAGTTCTTTCAGGACCCTAAGATGCATATTGTCCAGCCCAGAGTCATGTGCAGTCTCAACAGCTGATCTCATGCCTACTCTTCACTTACACTGGGAGTGATTCTTCTCCCCCAGCTAACCTAGCCCAACTTTGAAGCTAGGCCTGCTTGGAGAAATAAGACGCAATAACACCCAGATTTCCTTTTCAATCAACTTTTCCATTCTTGTATGGACCATTCATAAACGCAGATGTCAGCAGCACGTGCCAAAGAGTGACATTGGCTTAGCCAATACCTTTCAAAAAATCTTTTCTCAGTTTAATTGCAGGGTAGCACTTGGATCCTTGATCATATGCATGATGTGGAGCATGATGTGCAACAATCACTCCATGGACTGCTTGCCGAGTGGGCAGGCAGTGTTCCTTCTGCCCCATTGCAAGCTGCAAGCAAAAAAAAAAAAATGGTGGAAGAAATGTGATATGTACGCTGCATCCCTGATGTGCTCCAAGCAGATGGAGCTGCAGTGTTCTGCCCCTGCCACCTCTGCCTTTCATCGCTGCAGAGGCACTCATTTCCAGGGCTTCTTCAGCACTCAATGACATCCTGCCAAGAGAGCTGTGCAAAGTGCTTGAGCAGTTCTTGTGATACGAGTAGTAAAGCCAACAAAGCTTGAGAGAGCAGTGGGAGAGGGTAGATAAGTCCTCCCAAAGGGAATCCATTTGAGATGAGAAGTAGCAGAAACCCTTGGGGTAGGAAGCCCTGAGGGTCCCCCTCCAGCCCTTCCCTAGGCAAAGGCAGGGCAAAGGCCCAAACAGCAAGATGAGCACATGTGGCTCTGTGTTGGGGCATGGAAGGAGTGGATCAGGGCAGAGAGAGATGTGGGGCAGGATGGGATGAGGCTCCGTACCCTCTTGGAGGTGGGATGCAAAAGATGAGGGGGAGAGGAGGCCTCAGTGTCCTCCTCTCTCCTTCAGTGCTCAAGCCAGGGCTAGGCTGTGGTCTGCTGTTGGGAAGCCCTGAGAAAAATGCTGGCATAACCAAGATTCTTTGTGCTGAAGAAGCCCTGGAAATTTAAGAGATAATTCTACTCTATTTTTAGTTGTTGTTATTCAGTAATCATTAATTTTAATTACATGTGATGAAGGAGTCTTTACATCCAGGTGTTACAAATATCTTTCAACTACACATTGAAAACATTTTTTTAAAGATATAGGCTAAGCCAGTGAGCCTCTCTGACATTTGCTGCTGAGAACTGGAGGTACAACATTTGCATTTATATACGCAATTGTCACAGCTACCTTATATGTGACCATCAGCCAGAGCATGCATGGCACTATCTCTGTGTCTGCAGAGGCAGATCATGTGGGTATTTTTTCCTTTATCACTGAAATTACTTTTTCTTCTCTTTTTTTTCTTTTTTTTTCCTCTCTTTTTCTTTTTTTCTCTTCTCTTTTTTTTTTTTTTTTTTTTCTCTCTTCTTCCCTTCCCTTCCCTTCCCTTCCCTTCCCTTCCCTTCCCTTCCCTTCCCTTTCCTTCCCTTCCCTTTCCCTTCCCTTTCCCTTCCCTTTCCCTTCTCTCTTCCTGTCGGGTTGTACAAAACAGATTTTATCTCAACACACAAGTTCTTTTTTCTCGTATTTTTCCTTTCTTTTCCTGAGTCTCATTCCCATCCCACTGTGTGATGAGTGAGCACAACACTGCGTGATGCTGAGCTGCCTGCCAATTTACACCACAACACAACCATGCAGGAATCCCCCACACTCTACAATCCCCTGCTCTGCTGCAGAATGCACTTGCACTGAACCCAAAGATGTTTAACAGCGTTGGTGCAAGGTGCTGCACGTGGGTCAGGGAAATCCCAGGTATTTATACAGACTGGGGGAAGATCCCCTTGAGAGCAGCTGTGCAGAGAAGGACTTGGGTACTGCATCCAGGCCTGGTGCCCAAAGCACAGGGATATGGAGCTGATGGGGCAGGTCCAGAAGAAGTCACAAAGGTACTTAGAGGGCTGGGGCATCCCTCCTGTGAATAAAGGAAGAGGGAGCTGAGCTTATTTGGCTTGGAGGAGGCTCCAGGTAGATCTTGTTGTGGCCTTCCGGATCTCAAGGGGAGCTAACAAAGAGGGGGACTGACTTTTTACATGGTCTAATAGGGACAGGACATGGCAGAATGGTTTTACACTAAAATAAGGGAGATTTAGGCTAAATGTTAGGTGGAAATTCATTACTCAGAGGGCAGTGAGGCCCTGGCACAGCTGCCCAGAGAAGCTGTGGTGCCCCATCCCTGGAGGCACTCCAGGCCAGGTTGGATGGGACCCTGGGCAGCTGAGCTGCTGGGGGGCAGCCCTGCCCACAGCATGGGATTGGGGCTGGGTGGGCTTTGAGGGCTCTTCCAACTCAAAACACTGTTCTATGACTGCCTCAGAGATTTCCTCGCAGCTGTCCAGAAGCCACTTGGACATGGTGCTGGGCACCCTGCTCTGGGTGTCCCTGCTGGAGCAGAGCTTGGAACAGCTTTACCCAGCAGTCCTGCCAACTTCAGCCGTTCTGTGATTTTTGGAGCAATTCTGCTCCGAGGCAACAGCTGAAATACACGACAGCACTCGCTCAACTTACAGCAGTACACTTTGGCAGCAAACGCTTTGTTTTAATCACGAAGCTACTCAACAGCAAAGGAAAGCGTATCAGGTTCCAGCAGCCGCAGCCCTACCAGCCGTGCGGCCTCCGGGTGTCGGCACCGCGGCGCCGCCCCGGTCCGGCCGCGCTGCGCCGCCCCCTCCCCCCGCGGCGCGATGGGCGCGGCGAGCGGCGCCTAAAAAGCGAAAGCGAAAGCGAAGGCAGCGCCGCGCGGGGCCCGCAGGCCGCAGGCATCGCCTCGGAGCTGTACGCGGAGGAGCGAGGCCGCGTCCTGAACGGCGGCGATTTGGAGCTTTCTTTCCTTCTGCGGGTGGTCGCCACGGGCAGCCGGTCCGCCATGGCGGCGTCGGGCCGGGAGGTGGTGCTGCTGCTGGGGCTGGCGAGCGTGGCGTGCTGTGCCAGCGATGTCCAGAGCGGCGGCGGCAGCGCGCAGTTTCCGTGGGACCAGGTGAGGCTGCCCAGGCACGTCGTCCCGCTGCACTACCACCTCCTCATCCATCCCAACCTCACCACGCTCACTTTCACCGGCACCGTGGACATCGACGTCGCGGTCGCGCAGCCGACGAAGGCGGTCGTCCTGCACGGCAAACGCCTGCGCGTCACCGGGGCTGCCATCGAGGCGGGGGCCGGGAGCCCCTGCGCGGTGCGGGACGTGAGGCTGCTGCGGCACCCGCCCCGCGAGCAGCTGGCGCTGCTGGCCGCCGAGCCGCTGTGCGCCGGGCACAACTACACCGTCCGCATCCAGTACTCAGCGAACCTCTCCGACTCCTTCCACGGCTTCTATAAAAGCACCTACAGGACCCAGGAAGGAGAACTCAGGTATTTGCTGGTTGGTTTTTTGTTTTGTTTTTTGTTTGTTTGTTTGTTTTCCCCCTTAGAACACTAAATATGATTTCTTTGATTTTCTTTGGCTTTAGAATTTGTTATCGCCTGCTTTAGGATTTTTTTTATTATTATTTATTTATTTTCCAGAAACCGTTCTTGAGGTTCCTATTGCAATTGAGAAATTGTGCAATGCGGAGAGACTTCTTCTTCTTCTTCTTCTTTTTTTTTTTTTTTTTTTTTTCAGATGGCAACGTGGTTCATAGAGTTATAGAACAATAGAAAGGATTGGGTTGGAAGGGACCTCCAAGTTCCTCCCAGCCACAACCCCATGCCATAGGCAAGGCTGCCCCCCAGCAGCTCAGCTGCCCAGGGCCCCATCCAACCTGGCCTTGAGCACCACAGCTTCTCTGGGCAGCTGTGCCAGGGCCTCACTGCCCTCTGAGTAAAAGATTTACTCCTAATCTATGAGGTTTTGACTGTGGCTTTAGCCGACCTTGATCCACCAACATATCCATTGATTCCCCTTGGGCACGGTGAGAGGAAAAAGCAAATGACTTGTTGGGCTCATAGCAAGTTTTCTTTTATTCTACAATCCTTTCCAAGGTGTTTTTTAATAAACTTCACCTGCTCACCTCAGTTCCCCTCTACAGTTTGAGCAATTCTTGGGTTAAAGTGCAAAATATTGTAATAGTACCTACAGTCATTAACTTAGTATGAAATTACATGGTTTTTCCACATCAAGGTGATAAACCCTGTGGATGTGAAGATGTGTGGACTACAGCTCCTTCTTTCTTTCTTTTTACTTAGAGTGCTTGCATCAACTCATTTTGAGCCAACATCTGCAAGAATGGCCTTCCCATGTTTCGATGAGCCAGCCTTCAAAGCCAGGTTTTCAGTTAAGATTAGGAGGGAACCACATCACCTTGCATTGTCCAATATGCCACTGGTAGGTAGATACATTTAACATTGTGCAATTCCTTGGTGGTCATTAAAACAAGAAAGTAAAATGAGAACATCCAAGCATGGGAATGCTTGGCCTGAACATTACCTCCCTTCTTTTATGACGGTGTGCTATTGCTAGTAGTTCTGACACAAGATTAAGAAGGAATGCAGAACATTATGCATCCAGTGCGTTCCTGCTTCTAAGCAGTAGTTTGAGAATGTTCAACATGATGCAGCCTCCATAACCTGTATTTTATTCACCAAATGCTTTCCATCTTTGTCATAGATTTTGAAGGTTAATAACGAAATATATCTGAATACAACATGACATGATTCCTGTGTATTACCTTAATTACCTGCTAAAAAAGACCTTTTATGTAAAAAAGAGAGAGTTTGGCCTTCAGAAATATCTCAGTGAAAGTGCAGGACCCTGTAATGACTCTGAATGTTCTTGCAGTTACAAATATGTCTGCATAAATAGTGTAAGTTACATTTTGCACATCTGATCTTAATTTCTGCATGAGAGATTCTTTGTAAGTTCTTCTGTATTGCTGGTTCCTGGTTTGTGAGGAAGGAATATCACCTCCCTGTACACACACAGTGTAGCTCTCTAAAAAGGAAATATTTTGAAAATTGGTTTTAAAGAAGCAGTTCTCACATAAAGAAATGGATAGAATAGTGATTTTTTTTTTTTCTTTATTTGGTGAGTCTAAGTTATCTAGCTAGGCTTGTCTGTAACCAAGAGGAAAAATGGATAACTCCAACAGGTAACCCCTCTTGTTATCAATCCTGCAGACAGCTGATCATTGTCTGAAGGAGTTTATTTCTCTCATGTATAATAATTGATGTTTAGATTTAGACAGTTTAATTTGATGGATGTACTGCCACACACTGAAGAAAATTGAAGCAGCCAACCATATTTTTATTTACCTAGTTTTAGCAATGTTGAAATAACTTGTTAGTTTCACTTCTTATGAGTGAAATTACTTGTATGTATGTGTTTTCTTTGCGTGGGGAGGATAGCCATGGGAATTGCTTCTTTCCAATATGTCTTTTAAGCAGTCTCGATAAAACTGAAAAAGCCCACAGCAGTGTATGGTCCGAGAGTCCTCATGCGTACTAGCAATGAATGATGTGCTGTGCTTGTTTTTTTTTTAGGTGAAGTCTGTGAATATAGCTTCATGGCTTGTTGAGGACCATTTTGATACCAGTGTCAAGATGAGTACTTACCTTGTGGCCTTTATTGTTTCGGATTTTAAGTCCATCAGCAAAGTAACCAATCATGGAGTTAAGGTAGATCTTTCTCAGTTTCTAAGAGCTTTGTAAGAAGATCTGTATGGAAACATACAGTTTACTTTTCAGTTAAATCATTGCATTTAAACATCCTGAAGTTTTACGTGAATGAAAAGACAGAATGAAATAGGGTTTGTAATTAGATGATCGGATGATTAGTTTGCAACTATTATTGTGTCAAAACCTTTTAGTAATGTGCTTGCTTTTTATACATATACACCATGCGTAACGTTGTCACATGTAAGAGAAAAAGGAAATAAGGTTTTCTTAGAAAATCAAGAGAAAAATAGATCTGTGTGGCTTGAACAACTCTAGCATGATGGGGGTGGAAATTGTAGAAGTCTTGTAGGGATGTATTGGCTGCAGAAGTAAGTTAGAATTTGTATTTCTAGTTTTTATCATATTTTTTCTGGATTGTTAAAAACCACTGTTGCATAAGAACAGTGCTCTATGAGCACTCTTTGCTCTAGAGTCACTTTTTATGGTCATTCAAATAGCAGTGTTAAAGAACAAATGGCATAAGGTTTTGATGGTGGTACTAAAATCCTGCTTGCTTGTGTGCTATAGATTTCCATATACACAGTACCAGAAAAGATCAACCAGGCTCATTATGCACTGGATGCAGCAGTAAAACTTCTAGACTTTTACGAGGACTACTTCAGCATTCCCTACCCCTTACCAAAACAAGGTAAGCGTTAAATAATCTATTTGATCATAATAATATTTTTAAGAACAAAGAGAAAAACAGTATAGAACTAGAAATTCGTGTAAGACTGGGCTGACTTTGGCTCACGAGTTCTATGCTTTCTTCCTCACCTTGCTTAAGAGTAGTTTTAAAAGCTGCACTATGAACTGAAAATCCTTGTATTCTGTATAGAACTTCTTTGAAGCATGTTTTTGCTATTGCATTTAAGGAACCCATTAGATGCATGTGTGATATATGTGGTATGTGTGCCTGTGCGGGTGCTGTGGTGAAGTGGGATGAACAGGTAGCTGGATAAAAATAATCCTAGCAGTACTTCAATGTTTTGTTTTGTTTTCTAGATTTAGCAGCTATTCCTGATTTCCAGTCTGGTGCTATGGAAAACTGGGGGTTGACCACATACCGGGAATCTGCGTTGCTGTATGATCCTGAAAAGTCCTCAGCATCCTCTAGGCTTTGGATTACTATGATAATAGCCCATGAGCTGGCTCACCAGGTGAGATTTAGGAATAACAATGAAGTATCAGAATGGGCTCACAGAGTGGTCAAGGTTGGTGGATTCTGTGTGGATGAGGGGATGTTGGAACTACAAACTGAAAATAGCTGCTCCAGTCTGAGGGTGTTCTCCTCTGAACAGTGAGGTCTATTTCCAGTAAAAGAATCTAGTCAGGCTGCACAGACATGGAAGGCTAAATGTGTTTTGTTTGGTAACTGCAGTACACTGGGGCCTTTGCACCGTTGTCAACCATTGCAATTAGCTGTGAGGGCTGAATATAGATACATGAAGGTTTGGAAAATATTTATATGTGGCTTTCCTACCAAACCTGTTTTATTTACAAGGTTTCAGGGAATGGAAGTGGAAACCAGTGCTTTAGAGTTTTATCATAAAAAATAACAAATAAAAGAGCCCGAAGCTAGCTATATTACTAAAAAGATGTTCCTTAAAACTCAGCAAAATACTATAAATTCAGTTTCATGCAGGTCAGCAGCAGTTTTTGTGACAAGCTGGGTACTTAGTTTCAGGCGTTTGGTGTTTTTGTTGTTTCAGTGGTTTGGCAACCTAGTTACCATGGAGTGGTGGAATGATCTGTGGTTAAATGAAGGGTTTGCAAAGTTCATGGAGCTCCTGTCAGTAAACGTCACCCATCCAGAACTGAGAGTGGTAAGTGATATTTCCTGCACTTTTATTTTAGATCTGCCTTCTAAGACCACTAATTTGTATGGTAAAGACCAAGCAGTTTTGTGCTGTGAAACACTTCTTAATTTCTCTTTGAAGGAATCATCTGATCTCTGAAGGGTGGGAAAGTTGATTGAATCACGTGTAATTATTTTCAGAAAGTGATGATGGAAGTTAATGATTGTAATGAAAGCACACTCTTCTTTCTTAAGGTTACTTATATTTTCAAAAGTGTAAAAAAAGTGATTTTTATCTTTCTCTTAGCCACATACAGTCAGACTTAAGTCCTAGTGAAGACTCCGAGATCCTCCCACCAGCTTAACGCAGGTCCAATATAAGTGATTCTACAATTTTGCATAGCCCCACCAAAGTGAGATGTACTGGAAAGATCTGTGCAGGATTTTGCTATAAAATTACAGTGGAATGATGATGAAGAAATTCACCGTTGCATTTTTTTTGTTTTGTTGCTCTTCTTGTATTTTGTTTTTTTCTTTGTTTAATGGTTACTGACCGTTCTTCTTGTCATCAAAAAGATGTTGGAGTGTGCATGTGCTATTGTGGGGTTATTTTCAGCTCTCACTAACTAGTCTAAGTTTGTTTAGAGTGGTAGAAGAAATTTGCATCTCTTACGTTCATGTCAGTGTTTTTTTTCTAATGCTCTGCAATAAAAAGAAAGATGTACGTTGCTTTCTTTGTGTGATATAAAGATGATATGGCATAGACTGTAATGTGAACTAACAGGAACTCAGTAGTCACTGAGCAAAATGTAGTAGCAATAATCATTTCTGCCTCCCATTAGGAAGATTATTTCTTAAGAAGATGCTTCGATGCCATGGAAGTGGATGCATTAAATTCATCCCATCCTGTGTCTACTCCTGTGGAGGATCCAGCTCAAATCTTAGAAATGTTTGATGAAGTTTCATATGAGAAGGTAAAATAAGTAACTAACCGCTTCTGTTTTCAATTGTACTGAAGGTACACTACAGCTTTAATGTACTGATCCCAGTCCTTTGTACGAGGCATCCCTGAGCCATGGCATTAGTACACATTTTTATGAACTTGCCTAATTCCTTGTCCAAAGCACGTGTATGTAGTTCAAATGGTGGTTTTCCTTTTCTGTCTAAAAAGAGAAGGTTTTATTTGCTCTTCTCTGTTCTGTATCAATTTAAACCATTCAACTGTTATTTCAGATGCTTAAGTCAAGCAGCATTTTTCACTGTAGCATTATATGGTGCCCGTTCTATATAGTAATTAAAAAAATAATAACACGGTTAACTCAAACCAGTATATTTTTAAGAGTTATGACTTAAATATACATAAAGCTCAGTTGTTTTTTAATCAGAGACAAATAAAGCCATAGTGCTATTTAGGTGAGTAGCATGCTGAAAAATTTCCAGAAGAAGCATTTTGCTGTCTAATGAGTGGGTCTGTAAACATCTTTTTTTTTTTTTCAGGGATCATGTATATTAAATATGTTGAGGGACTTCCTGACTGCAGATGTGTTTAAGTCTGGACTTGTGCAGTACCTACAGAAATACAGTTATCAGAATACTAAGAACGAAGATTTGTGGGACAGTTTGACAAATGCAAGTATTTCTTTTATTCTCTTTTTTTTTTTCTTTTTTTTTTTTCAAATTTCATAGCTTTTCACTGGTAATTTATTTTTCTTGTACACTAAAGAAAACTGCAAACACTACTTAAAGCTATAACATCAACGGATGACTGAAACTCTTTTGCAGATTTGTCCCACAGTAGATACTGAAAAAAGTGAACTACAGGGTGATGGCTTTTGCAGAAGAAATCAACAGTCATCTTCAAATGCAGTAAGCATCCTAGTATTTTACTCAATAGTGTTTGGAAGTTTGACATTTAACACTCATTTGTCCTCTCATGTTACTATCCTGTGCTGTAGGATTGGTACCTGTATAGACATAAATCCTATTTCTGTGCCCAGCGCTCACTGGAAAACTGCACTACGAGTTGTTACTATGTAAAAATGTCCATAGGAAGATCAGCCAGAGATGTATTGATATCCCACGTTCCATCCTAAACTTTTCTATGCAGAGCTTACAAATCTGCAGCAGCTTTTATTTAGTACTTACCTACTCAGGTCTATTTCACTGTCAGTGTACTCCATCTGTCTTCCTCCTCTTCGTACATGCCTTCTTTTTCTCTCACTAACAAACAGCACTGGACCAAAGAGACTCTAGATGTGAAGGCAATGATGGACACTTGGACACTGCAAAAAGGTTTTCCCCTGGTAACTGTCACCGTAAGAGGAAAGAATGTCCACCTGCAGCAGGAGCACTACAAGAAAGGAGTGGATACTCTTTCACCCACAGAAAATGGGTAAAGAAAATGGGTAATCTCGGGGCACAGACTACAGTACTCTCCTGTGGCAAACACAGCTATGCAGTAAGAGCCTTTATTGTTGTTTAGGAATGCTGCCTGAGATGAAGGTCTTTGTGCAGCTCAATGCCAGCACCACTGCTGCAGTAGGTGCAGTTGGTGAGACTCTGAGTACCTGGTTGGAGTAACAGCTGCTGCAGGGGCTGGGCACCTTGGTGGGCTGTGTAAACCTGCACTGCGAACGTGCTAGTGGAACTAGGCTTGGAAGTTCTTACTGTTGCAGCTTCCCTGTTAATCTCCCAAGCAAGCAGAATTAAAACTAGCTAGATGCATGTGGGTCTGTACTGAAATGAACAGATGTGAGTGCAGCTCATGGCTGTCATCTGGCAGGTAGGAGATAGTACTCAGCTGTTAGGCTGAGCTAAGTTGGAGAAGGTTTTGCAAAGCTTTTTCATTAAACAAAGCACTTCTGTTTTGCAATAGGTACTTGTGGCACATTCCACTAACCTACATTACCAGCAAATCTCACACTGTTCAAAGATTTTTGATGAGAACCAAAACAGGTAATTTCCTTGACTAATTTGATTAACTTATTCAAAGTTCAAAAGCTTATTAGCTCTGCTGGTTTTTTGTTTGTTTGTTTGTTTTCAGAATTGATCAGCAAAATAAACTTTTTCGTGTCATCTCAATAACATCACTGTAATAATCTCTTACTGTATTCAGCCATGTTGGAATTCTGTTCAAATTTCTGAAATGAAACAAATTGTGGGTCTTACCCTAGGCTGCATTTGAATAATTAACAAAAAGGAGTTATATTTATGTTTGCAGATGTCGTTATCCTTCCAGAAGAAGTTGAATGGGTTAAATTCAATGTGGACATGAATGGTTATTACATTGTGCACTATGAAGATGACGGATGGGATCGTCTGATCAACCTTTTAAGAGAGAATCATACAGCGATTAGCAGCAATGACAGAGCAAGTCTTATTAACAATATATTCCAGCTTGTGAGGTAAGATGTTCTCTCCAAGACAAAAAACAGACAAACACTGCATTTGTAAGAATGTCATTAAAGAAGTAACGTTGATAATGTATATATATTCCTTACATCTTTTTAACAGTCTGAGAGCATGTTCTCTACTTGCTTATAGCTATGTGAGCCCGGGATTTGTGGTGGTTCTATCTAAACATATTTAATACACACCAGAGGACATAGTAATTCTCATGCTCCAAACAGTCCCTCATGTGTTTGCAACAGCATGGAGCTTACTGTTTGAGTCTTGCTTTTGAGAGGGCAGGTTTGCAACTGAGTTCTCTGTGAAATACAGTATTTAATTGTAACTTCAGAGCTTAGTTTTCACAAGGAAGCAGAGCATATACATGTGTACCATCCCTAGCAATGACCTGTTTATTGTAGTAGTGAGGTCTGTCAGACAAAATTATGAGACTTACAGCTCCATGAAACGGAGCTGTTGAGCTCTCTGCAAGCTGAGGGGTTTTTTTAAGACACTGTAACTCTTTCTACTATGATGTCACACCAAGTCTCCTTAGGTTGCCTTTAACTATTACCCTCTTAAGCACTGAAGACATTGAGAATGCTAACATGGCACACATCTGGTGAGGTGAAAAAAATGTATTCAGTCATGGATCTGGCAGAGTACTACTGCAGTAGTAGAAGGTAATATCCATTGCTAACATTGTGCTAAGGTCTGCAGTCAAAATGGAACACATCTGTTTTATAAAACCTCTGTGTTCTTTGAATGTTTTGCTCATAGTCCTACCAATCTCTGCTATAATTTTAGCTCCTGAGGAAGGTAGGTGTGAATACTCAAAACCCGGATTAAAGTGTTCTTGAAGGACACAAGGTGCTGTCAGCAGATCTTCACGCAACCTTTTAAATCTCTCAGTGAAATTTTTGCAAGTGAGCTCGTGCTGGGAGTCCATTTATATGGAAATTCTGATGTTCACTAGGGCTGTCAAATCTTTGTATCTCCTGCACCACAGGTAGCTGTCCTTTCTCTCTCAAGTCTAAGAAAGGAAAGCATGGAAATTAAATTACAATTTCCCTGGTCCAGCTGATGAGCAAGAAGGCAATTAAGTAGGGCACAGATCTCTTATTCTCTAATTCAAATGGAGTTTTTTTAGACCAGAAGAGAATCAGAAGTTACATTCTCAGCATGAAGTTTCACAGAGAAGCAAGTAGATATTAAAGGGGGCAAAAACATGTCATTTTCAATGCAGATGTGATAGTGCAAGTATACCAATGTAAGATGATGGACTAGGAGAGTGATTCTGCTTTTAAGTTTGTCTTATGAGCTTAATTGTAAATTGTTTTATCCCCTCCTTTCTACTCTTTAGAATAAAAAAACTGTCGATTTCTAAAGCTTTTGATTTAACTTTATACATGAAACGGGAAACACAGATCATGCCCATACTCCAAGGTATGAATGAGCTGGTTCCTATATATAAGCTCATGGAGCGGAGAGAGATGGATGACACAGAAAAACAGCTGAAGGTAATATTTTCAGTGTCTGCAACTTCGTAACTCTGCTTGTACCTTACAAAATGCGCTTTACATAAACACTTATTATTGCCTTATTTTAGGACTATATAGTCAATCTATTTAAGGACCTAATTGACAAGCAGCTTTGGAGTGATGAAGGTTCAGTGTCTGAGAGAATGCTTCGGCAGTCCCTGCTGATGTTTGCATGTGTGCGCAGGTACCAGCCCTGCGTGGACAAAGCAGAAGAGTATTTTTCAAAATGGCAGAAATCCAATGGAACCTTAAGGTCTGTTTTGTAATAGTTTTGTAAATAGTACTCCTTTTTCTAGGGCTGTCTTTTTTGATATTTTGTTTAATTATAGCAGCGTTAATTTATGAGTTCAACTGCAATCTTTTTTGCAATCCAAAGCTGAGTCTAGTTTCATTTTTTAAGTTTTAGCTTCCACTTCTTTGACACTTTGTTGAATATTACAAACCCAAACCATTACAGATGTCATGTGGTACTTCACAACTGTTTTTGTTAGACATGTTCTGAAAAGTGAAAATTGTGTGTGAATGTATTCCCTCTTTTACGTATATAAGAACAGGTAGCTCCTATTCATGAACTTGGCCTAATTTATATTTTTCATCCTGACATAAGAACTCTCTAAAACACCCTCGAAAGCTTCTCTGAGATTGTTCTGGGCAGGCTAAAAATGACCACATTGGTATCTGACTAAATACAAAACAGTTATGAAAAGAATATTCAAAATAAGGAAGAAAAACAAAATAAAAAGAATGAGTCCAGCAATTCAGAAAATCATTTCCAGGGTAGGAACAGCACCATGATACAGCCTGTGATATACTTAGTTGTTTCTCAGCAACAGGCATTGCTTTCTAATACCCATGAAGGACCAATATTTCTTAACAAATTGTCTGTTACGCCAGCTGAAGCATGACATGGCTGTCTTCCTACATACATTCCTAGATGTGACATGGAGTATAACTTGATCTTCAATTTGCTGTAGGCTGCCAGCAGATGTGAAGACGGCAGTATATATCGTTGGAGCACAAACATCTGAAGGTTGGGATTTCCTTCTTAGTAAATACCAGCACCACTCCTTCAGTGTAGACAAAGATAAAATTGCATCAGCTCTCAGCCTCACCAGGAATAAAGACAAACTTCAGTGGTGAGTAGTGTGTTACATAAGATATGTGCATTAGAAGGAAGATACTGCAGTTCAGAAACAGGAACTAGAGTTGCTCCATGTTTCACAGCTGTTAATTTTAGGATTTCTGATATGTTTTATGGAGTTAATACAGAAAGAGGCTGCAGCACTCCCTTCCATGGTTTTAGTGCCAGTAGTCAATCTGCAGTAGCGAATTGGGTAAAAGTGTAAAGCTATTCTGATACCTTTCTTTGCTTGATAGACACTTCTTTACCTTCATAATTACTTTGATTGTAACTAGATATGCTGTATGTTTCTTACAAAACCTGATTTTTTCCTGCTTTTGAGAGCTGAGCACTATTGAAGTTTTCAGGTGTTCAAACACAAAAGCTTGATGCAGGTCTATCAAGTAACTGTACTTGTGAAAGTAATATTAATGGAGAGGTGGATATACACCATAAAAAGTTCAGAGTCACCACGAAGAAATGATGTGTCAGGACCTTTAGGAAATACAATAGGAGAAAATACTGAGGGGAGTAATCATTTGTCATTATTATCTACTGGTCTAAACAACTTCAATTTCTGTTACTAATTCTTAGGCTAATGGAGGAAGGTCTGCGTGGTGACATCATAAAAACTCAGGATTTTCCATACATTATTGTGTCTGTTGCCAGAAATCCATCTGGCTATCATCTCGCTTGGACCTTCTTAAGGGAGAACTGGGAGAAACTCATTGAAAAGTAAGGAACTGAAGTTGTTTCACTCCTGTCTGCACCCAATCATACATTAAAACACTATTTCCTACAAAATAATAACATGCTCTCTGAGTGTAGGTTATTCTTTTTGCTAGATTTGAACTCGGTTCATCATCCATAGCAGGCATTGTCACTGGAGTGACAAATCAGTACTCAACAAGGCCACAGCTTGCACAGGTAAGCCGTTCACTGGAATAAATGTTTGGATGAAATTTTAATATCTTAAAAACATGAGTAGTTATGAATTGTCAAAATAATATCCAGTATTTTCCTTGGAAAAGATTACAGCAATGGAGTTGGATTGCTTAAGGCAGAGCGTTAAGCTGGTGACAAGGAGAAGGATGGGCTTTGTTTAGGCACAGGAATTGGATGTAGAGTATAAATGTGTACACTCAAGAGCTTACAGCATCCCTCTGAAAAGTACTGAAGAAAAAAAAAGGAGGTTTTTCACTGAGCAGTGATGGGCGAATATGTCATAAATGGTAATCATTTTGTTCACTTATTCCACCATCTTTGTCAGCATCAAAAAAAAAAAAATATCAAGACTGGGCAGTGTGCAGACTCATAGTCCTACAAGGACCTCAAAATTGAACCCCTGGTACTTTCTTTTCAGAAGCTGTCTCTGCTGCTGCCAGTTTAAGATTTCCTGATTTAGAGCAAAATACAGGCAGAAATAATATGACCAGAATAAATCCAAAATGAAAGAACACAAGGAGAAGTACTTGTTTTTTACTTGGTTCTCAGCCCTCTTAGATCCAAATGAACTCTGTGAATGTGCCTGTAGGTGTGGGCACTGCCACAGACTGCAGGGATGTTTCTGTGCACTGCCCAGAGATGTGGCTGCATCTCCCTTGACGATCTGCAGGGTTTAGATTTATTTATTTATTTATTTTTCCTGGTAGAAAACTGGAAGGAGGCATGTACCTCTCCACGTAGAAAAATCTTCTTTGAATATTTTATCATCAACACTTAATGTTTTCTGTGGTGAAAGTCTGTGCTGACATAGCTGTCCTTGATGCAGGTGCAACAGTTTCAATGACCACAGCAGTTTGTTGAATGAGCAAAGGACAGATTTCTCCCACAAAGCACTACGTTCCTTGCATCTGGATTGTTTTTTAATAATTAATTTTAAATGTAGTCTTCATCAGCTTATTGGATAGAGCAGTAATGAAACTTCTAAGATAATTTTTTGTGTCAGATGGTTGTCAGGTCAAATACCACAAATTTCTTGGTATGAAAGTAGGAGATGCTGCTGCCTCTTCATTCATTTGCTACTCTTTCACTTTTTTTTTTTAATAAACAGGTAAAAGAATTCTTCAGTTCTCTGGAGGAAAAAAGTGCACAGCTTCGTTGTATCCAGCAAGCCATTGAAACCATTGAGGACAACATAGAGTGGATGGATAGATATTTTGAGGAAATCAAAATGTGGCTGCAAAAGAACCAGCCATAAATTAGGATAGCTTGTTTATATTTGTTAGAAATAATTGAAAGGCACTGAAAATACAGGGCTGGAGGGAAAGCTAAGCCTGAGACATTCATTCTTCTGGAGGGAGCTCTCAGCCTTCTGCTGCTGACTGAAAATATTTTTGTATTTTTAAGTCACATCATGGAAAGGAGCATGCGTATTTTGTGTGTGTGAATCTAAGATGATTAAACAGTTTGTTTTAGCTGGAAATTTTACTTTTAATGATCCCTTGTACAACTAACTGAAGTGCAGCTACTGCTATAAATACTCACTGATGGTTAAATGGACAGATATTCATTTGAAATGACCTTTATTTATTAGCTCTAAGATGACGATAAGGATTGTAAGGTATTTGCTCAGATAGTTGATGAATATTATCAAGAAGACATTTCTTAAGAAACATGAGTTGAAATCTTAGAGGTGTTTTTATTTTTGTTATATATATTTTTTTAATACATAGTAGTGAACGACCTTCTCTGCTTACCTACAAAAACCCTTCAATTCAAATAGTAAAAAAACCCAACTGATTGCCATAGGTGCCTAAGATCACTTGATTTCTTGCTCCTGATAAGCATGCCTGTAATCCCACAGCTTTTTATTTTCTCTGTTGTTCTGACCTGTCTGTATTTCAATACTGGCTGACACAGACAGAAATCTCTTAACAAAGACTGAAACATATGGATAAATGCACAAGCTGGAATTAATCATAAGCTTTCAGGTGTGCCTTGTTCACTTTCCAGTCTACTAGGAATAAAACCTGCTCCAAAAGTGGAAATCTACAATTAGAGTTCAGAAAGTCTTTAGAAAGGCCAAATCTCAATCCTGTATAAAATACTGTTTCTTTTCGCTTGCTTTATCCATTCATATGTAAGGAATCTTGTACCTCATCACTCAGTGAGGGAAACAATTCAGAACAGGATGTGCACCATGTGTACCAAAGTTAGGGAATTTTTTCAGCTTAATACTTGAAATGGACTTGGAAGTTTTACTTTCTGATGAACAACTAAGGTTCGGTTCTTGGCTTCTACTGCCAGTGGAACTTCACTAGGCTACTGCAGTACTTTACAGGCGTACTGCTGTTGATGTAGCAGCCAGGTATAGAGCTGCACCAAAATGTAGCTTACTTTGGGCTGGGATACCTGGATGACTTGCAGCAATTTATAACAACTATAAGGAGCTAAGACCCAGTATTTCAGGTATGGTTGACAGCTGCTTCCTTTAAAAAGTCTTCAGAGCAAACTGAAAAGTTGATTATAGTAATAATAATAAAAAAATTTACACAGTTCTGGTTAAAGTACTTCATTTCCATGTGTGGGGTGTTTTTTTTTTTGTGTGTGTTTTGGATTTTTGTTTTTTGTTTTTGCTATTGTAAGAAGGAATTAAAGGAATTAATATTGCTGTTTTCTGTTTTATCTGCTGTATTTTCAGCTTATTTAGTTTCTCAACTCTGGGGAAAGTTATTAAGCAGCACTGCTTGCCCCCCCTGTAATATCCACCAGCCCCCTTCTTTTTTAATTAACGCAAAAAAAAAAGACACCTCAGGGAAGCATCAATTTGATCAGTTTGCAAGCACATATCCAGATGCACTGCAGTTCTCTCTATAGGAGAAAAGGGAGAATCACCAACAAGTACGCTGATAGTTTTTATTCATAAAATTGTATGAGGTGACAACACTAACAAACATTTTAGACACCCAGATGTGTGTGTCATGAATAAAGCTTGTTCATTGTGCTAGGAGCACTTAGTACTGAAATTCTTATGTCAAAAGGAGTCGTGAATTGCAATGGCTACAGACCTGCAGAGCAGGGTCCACGTACTTTGTTAAAATAAGGGTTTCCTCAGGGCTCTTGATAATGACCATTCATCATTTGTATATATTATGATGTCCCAGATTCTAACTGGATTTCTTCAACAAAATAATCACTTCATTTTGTTTCTGAAAACTCCAGAGTGTACTAACTAACTGAGCTGTTCTGGGCCTGGGACCCAGTTTGGCCCTACTAAGCTGCTATACAGTAAGGAAAACCAAGGGAAAGGAGGAAGCTGGCTCACAGATTACAGATGACTTCATGAAGCACCGCTGACAAGCATTTTCGTTTTCTTAAACACGTACGTTTTAATAGGCCAGTATATTTTTAAATTATTTCTTGCTTTTACCTTCCAACAACTATTCCCATAACAGCTACAGTAAATAAAAAGGTTAGAAACATCATGGTGCATTCTTTAAAACTTTATTAGTGTGACACAGGTTCTCAGTACAGACTGCAGAGTACAGTCAAAATTCTGATTGATTATCCTCCAACTTTCACCTCAAGGCCACCTCTGTCTGCCACACATCATACTAGAATCAGGTAATGGAATCATTGCAAATACTGACCCCTAGTATGACCTTCTTCTGTAAGCTAACAGCAAAGCAGTATATGTGTAAGGATGTGCAAAAAGATGTTTTGCAAGTAATGAAGACAGAGGTAAACAAATGGAATAACTTGGTATGCCTAAGTCTCAAAAGCTCTACCTGCAACAGACGTACTAGAGGGTGCCTGCTCTTGCCTGTTATCTTGAAGACTTGGTGAAAATGACATTGTTCCTTGCTGCATTAAATTCTGTTCTACTGTATTCCCTCTTGGAGTGTGAGGAACAGAAACAGCAAAAAAGGAAAAACAAACAAACAAACAAAATGGCCCAGCTGTCAACATTAATTTCTCTTTGATCTTTGCTAAGGTTTATGCAAAGATCTTTTTTTCCTCTTGTGTGATTATAATGGTGTTGGTGGTACACAGTGATTTTTATTTTTTCAGTGCAGGAGACTCCTGAAATCATGAAAGAGCACAGATGCAATTGCAATTAAAAAAAAAAGTCCATATGATCTGGAGTGGTTTTGCTATGGTTTTAGCTACAGCAAAGGCATCATCAAAAACTACCTGTTTTATTATTCCTGATGAAGCAGCTGATCACCAGTTCCTCATTCCTTATGCCTCCACAGCTTATCTGTGTTTTCTTACCAAGAAAAAGTCAGGAAAGACTGTGTACAGCCAGGCTGAGATGCGCTGGTGATAACTAAAGCTCATTATATTCCAGAATACTTATTACACTCACTGCAATGTTAAAACTGCTAGCACATGCAAATTCTTCTGAGATTTACAGGCACTATGTGGAGATTATGTGCAAAAGTTTGCTTTTTCTTTTTTGGCATTGCTATTAATTTCTGAAATATACTTCTTACAAATATAAAGCATCCTTTCCCTCTGAGAACTCAAGAAAATTACAAAAAAATTAAAGCATATCAGTACAATAAAATGAAAGGCTAGAAAAAAAAAACAACTAATCTACTACTGGAAAAAAGGAAAAAATGAAAAAAGTCCAGGAAATACCACAGTACAAAAAACACCTAGAATAGCTACATGCTTTTTGCACCAGCTTTTGCAGCAATAATTATCCCCAGTAAAAAGAAGACTCTTCACATCACGTGCCAACATCCTGAGGGGAAAAAAAATAGATAAATTAAAGGTAAGAACATTAGCATGGAAAATCAACAGTTATAAAATATCTAGTGACAGAAGGAAACCCAGGAAGACGAAATATCAAAAGAAAGGAAGTATTTTTTTCAAAAGCAGTACTGCAGGAAGTATATCAGCTTGCCGCATATACAGAGCCATTACACATTTTTGTCTTTCTGAAGTCCAGTGCTAAGTCTTCTCACAGGACTTAGGTTCAGCAGTTTTCATCAATTGATGAATGAACCTTTTGGTTTAGCTGTGAGTTGTTTTTTGAGTTTATTTTTGTTTTGTTTGCTTTATTTTTTTCTGACTGATACCGAAATAATTACATAAGTTAACTGTCCTAGACATAAAAACAACCAGACAATATATGCTGCTTGGTCTTTGTAAATTCCACGGAAAAGGTCCTACTAAGGAATCAGTACGGTATGCTTTGTAATGCTTAAGATTATAAGGGTTTAAAGAAATTTAGCTACAGGAAATGATTTTGTGCTAGCTGTACTAATTTTTGTACCATGAAAAAAACAGTAAGGGCTTTTCTGCATAGATTCTGGAGTACAGAGTTATTCCACGTGTTTCTCTGTCTCTAATCACAGTCTGCTTTTAATTAAAACTGTTATAAAACTTAACTTTGACAACAGTAGTGTGAATTGTCTTTATGTTCGCTCAGAGAAAAGAGAAGAAAATATCTCACCTAGAAAGGTTAACGTTTAGCTTGTTTTCTGCTTCTCAGATTTGCTGCTGGAGGACTGTCCCCTTGCCTAGGGAGCAAAAAAAGCAAGACAATATGAATTAAGCTAAACCCAAACTTACACACTGACAGATAGTCATCAGAAATTTAAACAGTGATTTAGTCACTATTCAGAACCTTAGAAAACCCACATCTTTCTGGATTTAAAGACCTTCCACTTTTACAGTGAAAACTGTGAGACGCTTCTGTTGCTTTACAAAAGGAATGTGCAGCAATTTCACAGTAAAAAAAAATCATTTCACTTAAAATGTAAAAAACATTTCCAGAGCACATGTTAGCACACTGCTGCAAAATTCTCTCCCAAGAAGGAGCACATAATACAATTCCAAATTGCAGCTGCTCATCTGTCCCAATTACAGTGCACATTAACCCTGACTGTCCCTACTGTAATACATTTCTACCTTTTTATGATCCTTGGGTTTTCTTTCATCCTTTGAGGTTGCTTTAGTGGTGATGGTTTCCTTTCCACTTTTCTCCTACACTCCAAAGAAAAAACATAATTACAGTTACAAACACATTACAGGACTGATGGCTCTTACTCAAGTTGCTGCCCTTACACATTATTTTAAATACACAGATGCAAGCTGCACATACACAACCAATGTCCTTAATCCAAAGCAAGCTGGAAGTTGGGATCCTTGCTTAATACTGGGGAAACTATGGTGCAAAAAAGTACACAGACATAAAAAGGCTGGTATATTTGGTCATTCTGCATTTACTACAGAGCGAAAAAGATTTAGCTCAAAAGGTCATCACCAAATAAAACATCTCTTAAAATCACAGTATTACCAAGATTGGAAAGGACTTTCAAGATCACCAAGTCCAACCATCAATCTGCCCTACTGAATGCTATCACTAAATCATGTTCCTTAGTGCCACATCTACGTGTCTCCGAAGTACCTTGAGGGGTGGAGACTCCACCACTGCTCTGGGCAGCCCATTCCAATGCTTGACCACCCTCTCTGTGAAAAAATTCTTCCTCATAGCCAATCAAAACCTACCATGGCTGCTCCCTTGCATTCTACTACTCGTCACTTCAGAAAAGAGACCAACACCCTTCTCAGTGCAACCTCCTTGCAGGCAACTGGTTAGAGTGATGAGGTGATGAGTTTCCCCTGTCTCCTCCAGACTAACAACCCCTTTTTCCTCAGCATCTCCCCATCATCTTCTACTCCCTTCACCATGTCAGTGACAAAAGGCACAGTGGATGTTTCAAAGCCATAGAGGACATCATCCCCTATCTAAGCTCAAGATAGCAAATGCCAGGTTAAGGACAAGTGAGAGCCATCAAAAAACAAGTCTCAGAGTGCTACTCCTCCTCAAACGTGGATCAAACCCCAGTTCCCTTCTTAATATTCTTCTCCAGCACAACCAACCAACTATACCACCACTGTTACTTCACTTCATACAGAACACCTCTGGGAAATATCTGACAGGAGTTTGTCAGCTGTGATCTAGATAATTCCATGACAAATACTACTTTTCTCATTATAAAAACTTCTCCAGTGCATTCTCTTCTTGATCTTTCTTGTTGGCACTGCTGTTTTCTCTAACATACCTAAAACTCTTCTCTAGTCCTAGCATTTCTTTGAAAACATTCTTGAACTAGATGACCGTTAAGGTCCTTTCCAGCCTAAGTCTTTCTATAGTTTATGATTCTGTGACTTCCAGCCTACAACTTCCAGTACTTGAAGGGAGTGTACAAACAGGAGAGAGTATGACTGTTTATGAGGGTGGACAGTGATAGGACAAGGGGAAATGGTTTTAAATTGAGACAGGGGAGGTTTAGGTTAGATCTTAGGAGGAAGTTTTTCACATCCACACCACAGAGGGTGGTGACACACTGGAACAAGTTGCCCAAGGAGGTTGTGGATGCCCCATCCCTGGTGGCATTCAAGGCCAGGCTGGATGTGGCCCTGGGCAGCCTGGTCTGGTGGTTGGCGACCCTGCACATAGTAGGGGGGTTGAAACAAGGTGATTGTTATGGTCCTTTTCAACCCAAGCTATTCTACGATTCTATGAACTACTGCTAGGTAATGCATGCATCACAACCAAAGATTCATCTGCCCCCTTATGCTTTTTCTGTACAAAACCCACTATCAGAATTCTCTGCTTAAATAATCTCCAAGCCTACTTTACCATTCTAAAAGACTCCAAACACCACAAACGTGCCTTTTTCCAAACACAAACTACAGGGGAGGACACATCAAACTTCCCTTATAGTATTAAGAATCATTACATTTTGAAAGCACATTCTAAAGAAGATACATCTGATTCTAAACTGAGCTATGGCAAAGAAAACAATTTTTGTAGACTAGTGAAAAACTGTTGTTGTTGGTGGGTTTTTTTGTATGTTATTAGCAGAAAATGTCCTACCTTTGAGTGCTGTGGTGTGGCAGAAGTCTTCGGACTAGTATCAAAGTCACCTGACAGGGCATCGATAGCAGCAGACTCATCTGTAGGCTTCTGCAATGATGTCAATTATGAAGTTAAAATATGTGAACTCCTGAAGCCCAAGTTATTGTTTTAGGCATGTAAGAATGGCTCAATCACCTTATGTACGTCTTACATTATTCTGTACATTAATCTGTACATTACCTCTACAGAACAGATGCATTTCTTTGAGGTTTCCAAATTACACAGTATCTTTGAATATCAGACCCCTGAATTACTAGCGCAGTTATGCATTTATAATGAATAGTTATTAAGAAAAGTTTTGCTGTCTGCTGTTCCTATTACCTACTGCATTCAGTAGCACTTACAACATTTTGCAATAAAGTTAATGCTAAGCCTCCAAATGACAAAGATTCAAAAAAAAGAAAAAAAATTAAAAAAATCAGAGTAGACAGCAAACAATCACAGCAAACAATCACAGACTAAAAATGTAAGAAATTTTACCTTCTGTTCCTTGTTTTTCAGAGCATCCTTTGGTATTGGCTTGGCAGGTTTACCCTTCGAAGGAATAAAGATTACATCTTTAAGGTGAGCTGGTCAGGTTCTTATTATGATTCAACACACTCACATACTACACAGGGAGTTTACAGATTATTATGTAAGTTGAACCATTCTGACTTGACTTCTTTATTACCTGCGATATACTTTCAAAATCAGTTCAGAATGTATTTTCATTCTCTATTCTTTTGACTATGTTTGTAATTTCATCTGCCTTTGCAGTCTACAGGAAAAAGAGTTTCTTGATCTAGAGCAGATCAAATCACTGTCAGAGCAATCACTCATTACAGTGAATGGCAGTCCACAGGGCCTCATGTATACCACAAAGGTTACACTTGTATATATACTTAGTTCTTAGACTAGAAGCTACCTAGAAAGCATAAGCATTATTATATACAGTTTGTAAATAGTTCCTATGTACAGGAGACTATAAATAACATCTTCGTAAAGGGTGATATAGGATTTGTTTTCCTGGTTTTCTGGAACAACTAAGAAAATGCGCCAGTATAACCGAAAGCTGCGCTGCTAAATATTCATGAGGACTGCTACTGGCTTGTTAAAATTGATTTATTTTTTCAGACTGCCTATAAAACACAATCTTAGTTAGATTGTTGTTTGTTTGTTTTTTTTAATCAAATGCATGAAAGGATGCAGACAGCTTCTCTTAAGTATTAAGGTTCAACATGTAAATCTTATATACATTAATACATCACACACAACTCCTGGTTCAGTTTCACTGTTCTCTCTGTAATTCCACAGAGGAGAGACTGGCATACGTGCACAAATTTCTAGTGTTACAGTAAAATAGTGAAACAAAACCCACACGGTTTCTCCTTACCTCATCAGATGACCCCAGAAGTTTTTGAAAGTCAGGTGGAATAGTATCATCTCTTTCTCCAAGTTTGTCTCTGTGTTCAGATTTAGTTTTTTCCTGAAAGCATTTATTTTTTTTTTTTAAGAATTTCAATACTTACATTTTTTCCTATTCCTATTACATTTTAAAACTGGATACTTATTTACTACACAGAAGGTTGTTCTCTCTTGTGCATCATGAAACGGTTTGACAAATACAAAATTAGTCAAATTAGTTTGACAAACATAATAAACATAAGAAAAGTGTCAGTGTTCATTTAAAAAAAAATTGTGACAGCTGCCTCTTTTGAATTTAAAATTTCAGAACTACTGGGAAACATCCACATATATCTATTTCACAATGAGGTGTACTCAATGTCTGAAAGTTTTAAAACTACAGGCTCTCAATAGGTGCAGCTATTCACTAAGTTATGTACCTATATATGCAACAGCAGACCAGCATAAAGAAAATAGCTCTGTCAAAATTACATTAGAATATAAAAGAGCAGTTCTCTTGGAAGAAATTTTCAGAGATCATCTACTCCAACTGTCTAACAACTTATAAGCTCTTAACTTTTGCTTAGTCTATAATTCAAGCATTATTCAATTGCCTTTTGAATCCTGACAGGCATGGGGCATCAACCACCTCCCTAAGAAGCCTATTTCAGTGTTGGGCCACCCAAACAGTGAAGAAATATTTTCCAGTGTCTGTTCTGAACCTCCTCCGACATCACTCTGTGCTTCCCAACCTGCCAGCTGATCCCTGGAGCAGAGTCTCACACCTCTCTCTGCTTCACTTCCTCAGGAAGATGCAGAGAGCAATGAGGTAACCTCTGGGACATGCAGAAGGCTGAGGTACTCAACAAGCTCTCTACCTCAGTGGTCACTGATAGTCAGGCTTCTTGTATCTCTCATAACAGCTAGGTATGGGCTGCAGAAGCAAAATCACTCCCACTGTAAGCAAAGAGCAAGTTCAAGACTGCCTTAGGATGCTGAATGTGCACAAGTGCATGGGGCCCTACGACATGCATTCCAGCAGCTTGAAGGAACTGCCTGATGTGGTTGCCAACCCAGTAACACTGAAAAAGTCATGACAGTCAGTCCCCAATGACTGGAAAAAAGGAAGCCAAAACTCACTACAATGGGACCTCAAGTCAGACTAGTTCCCATTTTGAGTCTATTTTATTCATGGTTACGTACAGTGATTATACTTTAGAATTAATCCTTTAAGTATTTCAGTTTACAGTTTACTACAACTACTACTATTATGCAGAGATGAATGTGTTTTAATTACTAACAGAAAGATCTTTATACAATTATATGAAAAAGTACCAAATGAGGATGAAACAATCAGAAACAAGCAAGTAGAAAAAAAACAGAACTGATTAAACAAATATCTCCATTGATTAACTTGTCTATGGGGTCATAAAAGTCAGTGAGGTTTGACAAAAAGGCCATAACATTCAGAGGCCAGAGAAGAAATCTGAAAAATAAGTTGAACAATGACAACAAAAGGCAGCAAAGTCAAATTATTGCAAATTCCCATAATATTTTAACAATTATCTTCAAATAGCAAAAATGTATTAACTTAACATCTTTTACAAAATTCACAAAGAATTCATCTGACTGAAGACTGCCTACTTAGAAATAAAATAATAATAACAAAAAATCAAAATCCCCACTTTCCCAAGATAACAAAAGTTTCAGAATGTCTTTTATTACCTTTACTTTATCCACAACTGGTTTGTTCTCATCAGGATCAGGTTCTCTCTGTCCCAGGGAATCAGACAAGAGATCCAAGGCATCATCCATCTCTTTCCCTCCCTGATAAGATATATTTATATGTGAGAAACCAAATCCGCTGTAAAAATATTGTTTTTTATTATGTAAGTACTAATTTATGTGTTGTCCAGAAACGAATGTACAGATAGTTCTCAGTTTCTAATTGCAATGTAGTCTTCACAGCTGGGGAAAAAACATCTGTATACTGAAGACATACAGAAATCAATTTCAAGTAGGGGTTACAGAATTGATTTTAATGGTTTTGTTTTGCTACACAACTGAACTAGTGAGAATAGTACTAAGAAAAGACTGTGGTTTTTTTTTGTTAGGAGTCATTCATTTTGCAAATATTATCACTGCAGACTAGTTTCACATTCCTCTTTCAAATTAGGTTGGAAACACTAGAGGGAGCTCTCACTGCACAGATCAAAATGAAAAAAGGCCCCTACATACAACATTACAACTCAAACACGAGAAAAATCTTGTTATTAAAAAGAGGACATGGAGCTACCTGGGCTGTCACTGACACTGAATTCCTTCACGTTTAGGCTTACAAAATGACTAAGCCACTGGTTGATTACTATGTTATTATTATTTAAGATACTGACATTACCTAACCAGAAAAAGAATGGTGTGGTTCTGTTAAAAGATCAAAGCCTGAAAATGAAGCTATTTGCATGTAGGTAACTATCTTCATCAGCCCACAGAACTGAAATGCCAAATCCCGCTGATATCTTCTGTAGTTCTGGAGGAATCAGCATGAGAATGTGTTCCTCATTTTCTAAGAACAAGCAGGGAGTTTTCAAGAACAAACTGAAATACAATAATGTTCAGATAAAACAGACAGAACAGTCTTCAAAGGCAGTGAAACACAAAATGTCCAGAACGCTCCAAACTCTTTTTTCCAGAGGAGAAAAAAAAAAAAAAAAACCACTCAATAACCATTATTAACAATTAATGACTTAACTTTACAACGGCCTACAGTGGTAAAACTGGCCTTATGACACTCCAAACTCTACTCATCAATCTCCTGTCTGAAAGCAGGATTTAAAGAAAATGTTGCTTACCGATGTAGAAGCTAGGGGAGCTGCTGAGTGCACTGAGGAAACTGTAGAAGCAGAGATAACATCTGAAGAATCTGCAGTTTTTTTACCCGCTTTGGTTTTCTGAAACAAGACACAGCCCCATTACTGATAGAGACAAATAAGAGAAAAATATTTATCAAATTCCACACATTTGAAATGCAATGCCCACATCACTCTTAAAGGGCTTCCTTTTTCTTTAAAGCTTGACTTATTTTAGATTGAAATGTCTTCCTGTGTGCAGAGTGTAGGTGTTTTGCATCTTAGCTTGTTTATGTTCAATCTTCCATCTCAGCTACTGGGTTGAAGTCTGGCTTAGTTAAGTCAAGGCAGGTTTCATAAAACCCTAAGAGTAGGTAAGATTTCACTAAGCCCACCTATATCATCAAGTACCATTTTCAGAAGTCTCTATTTCAAGCACTATATATGCACACAATTGGTAAGAAGATGCAAAAGCTAACTTGTCCAGCTTTTTTCTTACTATTGAAGTCCTGCTCTCTATTCCACTAATTTTCTGCCGCAGGATTAAAATGTAATTACTCATGAATATTTGCACAAAAAATTAGGGGAAAAAATAAAACAAAAGGTTACTGAAATTATTTGAAAATACATCTTTAGAAGATAAATAGACTCACCTTTTTTACAGTTTGTGTAGGTAATGGTGCAGGTTGGGCTGGAGAAAATCCTTTTGTCAAACCTTCTAACAGATCGTTTTCACTCATAGGCTATCATTGAAAAGGACAAAAAATATCAGCAGGTCTATTATAAAACTCAACACTAGCAGATCTTACAGATGTTTGAGTAAGTCATTAATGAATGAAACAGTCCTCTAAATATGTAAATATTCACTTTACCTGGGACTTTTCTTCAGGTTTTATTAACAGTGGTCTTCCATCTTTACCCTACAAGAGAAAAATTCCCTTATATTAAATCAAGCAGTCCTTAAATGACCATGTAATATGAGAAGTCTGACAGAATTTACTTACTGACAAAGAGTACTACCAAAGAAAAGGATCTAACTAGCAATTTCTAGCATTTACTTCTGTTAGCCACGGTGTCATCTAAGAAATCAAGGTCCTGCAACTTAAAAACATAATGATTACTTATAAGTTATTCACTGTGTGGATTCTGAGCTTCTCTAATTTTCTGTTTCTGTGGAAAGTAAGTAGCAGAATTAAATAAGATTTCAACTTCCAGCTTTCTATCAGTACTGCTGAATGAAGAGTCAAGAAAGAAGGTGTCAGACTGGTGCCTGTGGCAAGTGATGGGCAAGACTTGGCTATATGTAAGCAACCCATTTGTGTCAAACGAGTTGTGTGGTGTTGTCCGTAAAAATATCTACTTGAAGTCTGTTGTTTTGTGGAGTGTTTTAAGAACAGTTTTAACTAGTCATAATTTATTAAATTTTATAATATGATGAAAGATTCCAGCATACTGATCTCAAACAAAATTACTCATACGCAGGCACTTGCATGTAAACTGTTTTAGTTCCTATGGAGGCATCTAATGAAGGATGTCAGATAATCCAGGAATTACAAACCATGACTTTTACATAGCGTAAAACTGCCTTAAGTAAACATATCAAAATGAAATACAGTTTCAGTTTCATGCATGTGGATCAAGGAATGAAAGGTAAGACTAAAATAGAACATTAAATTTATTACTTTTGCATCTGTTGATCTGTACTCTGGAGGAATTAATTCTTCATCTTCACCCAGTTTTTTGTGTTCTTTCTGCTTGGTTTTCTCCTTTGAAGGCAAAATAAAATTAATAAAAACAAACTGTCACATCTCAACAGAAACTCAAATACACAACTTTTCAGTGTCTTCAGTTTACTGATTCAAATCAATCTTTCTAATTCAATGCAAAAGCCAGATGAAAAAATCTCATGCAAATTCAAAGAGCCCTTCAGAAAGGTTTTATCTATCTTTGTGTTTCTTTCTACTAGGAGTAGCTCCATGTGCCTCAATGAAGATCAGCACAGTTAGGTAAATGGGCAAATATGAATCAGTAACATAACAGCAGTGTATCTCAGAGCCAAAATTCCTGACTTTGTTTGAAATGCACTCAGCAACTGCCGTGACTGCATGCAGCCTAAGCAGAGAATGCAGTAGCCAAATCGTAAAGGACTACTCCCAGTACAAACTGTACAGGAAGATGATAAGGAAGACATCACAGTAAAAGTAAACTTAAAAAGTTCTGTTTGACACAGTCCTAGCATACTAGAAAAGTTGCTCTCTTTTTTTGCCTACATTCATTAGCACTTGGCCATAGTGACATTCCCAATTAAAACAACTCATCATAAATGTTCCTTTCGGAAAAGGACTGAACTATAGCCAACTCCAATGCACACATTACCTCTGCTTTGTTTCTGCAGTAATACACAAGCAAAAGCAGTTTTCAGAAGCTGACAAAAGATGAAATACTACCAACAGGCACAACGACAAAGTACTCACTGTATTTAAATTCTACTAGAATTTCCTAAGCAAAACATAACTTGTTTCACAAGTAAATATTATTTTTTAAAAAGTGTTGAGTACTACCTCCAACTTGTTTAGCCTGTGGAAATGCAGAAACAACGAAGATATGTATACCAACAAAGTATTTTTTGAAGTCCAAATATTTTTCTACCTTAACTTTGACCACAGCAGGTTTCTTTTCTTCTGGATCAGGCTCCCTCTTTCCTAGACCACTGGACAAGGCTTCTAGTGCTTCATCGGCTACATGACCAACCTGCAAGAGTATTGATACAGCAGAACATAATTATGTGTTTGGAATTCCACTGCAGCTGACGAGAACTCCTCACATACTACAACTGCCAGACACAAATTACTGAATTCTACTGCTGTAGAATCTTTTCTTCCCTAAGTATTTATTAAATTCACTAACAGCATTGCTTTAATAGCACTGGGGCTAGAGCAGACCACAAGAACTGTCAGTTCAAATTACTCTGTTAAGAACTTTCCTGTTGACCTTCCCTGTTAAGTTTGACATGCACCACAAACCTCTCCAGCCAATAAGAGAACTCCATCAGGGGCCAAACCTAAATGACTCCATGCAAATGCACATCACATTCGTAGGGCTATGCTCTTACTGGCATCATGGATAAGAGGCTCACATGACTTGAGTGTTGTAATGGAAAAATGAAGGCTCCCCGGGAAGGGTAAACAGGGAAGATGAGGAGGGGGTGTTTCCTTCAATGTCAAAGACCATCTGGGGTGCACGGAACTCTGCCTGAGGGTAGACAGAAACTGACTGAGAACTTATGGGTGAATATTAAAGGGTGAACAAGGAAATCTTGTCAAATTCAAACTCAGAAAAGAAATCTGAAGAGAGTGAAAGCAAGGAAGGCTAACCTGGGAGAAATACAGAGACACTGTCCAAACATCCAGGGATCAGGCTGGGAAAGCTGAAGCCCTGAAAGCAAATTTGGCAAGGGACATCAAGGACAATGAAAAAGCCTTGCTATAAGGACATCAGTGATTAAAGGGAGACTAAGTAAAATGTGAGCCTTGGATGGACAAAACAGAACTTGGTTACTCGAGATACATTGGAGACTGAGGCATTCAGTGACTTATTTGCCTCATTTTCCCTGGCAAGTGTTCTAGCCAGACTGCAGAATCCAAAGGTAGGGACTGGAAGAATGAAGTACTGCTCGTTGCAGATGAGCAGGCTTGAGACCATCTAATGAACCTGAAGGTGTACAAGGCCACAGGATCTGACGAGGTGCATCTGCAGATCCTGAGGGAACTTTTGGGTAAAGTTGCTAAGCCATATTTGACAAATTATGGTAGTTCAGTGAATAGAACCCCCACTAGGATTGGTGAAATGGATAGTCCCCATTCCTGAAAAAGGAAAAAAGAAAAAAACTAGGAAACTGAAAGTCAATCAGCTTCATCTCTATGCCCAACAAGATCATGGAGAAGATCTTACTGGAAATTATGCATGGAAAACAAAGAGGTTACTGTTAACAACCAACACTGCTTAAATAAAGGCAAATCGGGCCTGTCAAAGTTCATGATCTTCCATGATGGGGTAGGAGTATTGGCAGATAAGGGAAGAGCAACTGATGTAATTTATCTGATTTGTGCAAAGCATCTAACACTATCCCTCACAACGTTCTCGTCTCTCAGTTGATGAGATGGGGATTTGACAAATGGGCCACTCGGTGGATAAGGAATTGGCGGGGTGTAATGGCTTTATACTAAAAGACAGTATTTAAATGAAACATTGGAAAGAAATTCTTCACCACAGGAATGGTGAGGTTGCCTTTAGCTCTAACTACTCACAGAAGACACAGATGTTGGAGCTGAAGACTGCACAGAGCAAGCTGTGGCACGAGGGACTACTTCATCCTTCGCAGTTTTTGCAGATGCAGGAGCCGATGGCTTCTGAAACAGAAAAGTTGCATTGCATTTACTGAATATGCTCAGAAACCCCAAACATATCTGTTAAGTGTTTTGTTTTGCTTTTTAAAAATACAGTACAAAATGAGGGAGAAAAAGAGTCCAAATGTAAAGCCAAATGCTTTTAATGTCAATTAAAGACTAGATGCCAAACAGAGTTGATATACTGCATGTTCCACTGAAAGCCACAAAGAAATAACAAAGAAATGAAAATATTTTTTCTTGAATGAACAGCAGCACTATCCAGTCTTAACAGATCACTTACTGTTAGCATTTACAGTGAACTAGACTTACTTTGGATGTGCTGCTGGACTTTGATGGCTTGGATTGTACTGCAGGCTGTGCAGGGCTGGCGAAGTCTTTTGAAAATTCATCAACAAGGTCAGATTCACTCAAAGGCTGCAAAAAAAGGACATGCGTGGTATGGGTGACTCACTGCCTATTTTTCATGAATTATACTTCAGGTTTTCAGAAAGCAGACCAACCTTTGTAGCCAATACCAAAATAACCTCTGACATTTACATCCATAAAACATCATGAGTTTTACAGTGCAAGGAACTAAAAAAGCAAACGCAACAACAAGAAAAATCAGAATGAGTCAGTTTCCTTGATATTAACAGCTAACGTAACTGTAGAGAATGTTGCGTGCAAAATTTAGGGAACATTATGTTCAATACAGTTTACTGGGCTACTGAAATGAAAATGCAACTTTATCACTAGAAAAAAAAAACAGAACACTGATATTTTACTGCACCCATGCCATGCTGTATCAGTATTTAAAGTACGTATTATATAGAGGTTTTGGGAAGTGGTAGCATCAGGTTATGATTTTTGCATTTTAATTTTTTTTTTTCATAGCAGAGTATAGAGTACAGTTCCCTCAGAGGCAGTATCACTTATAAATTCTCAGCTCATGCAGTGACTGCTGACACTCCATGTCTTCCCCTATGAATAATACTCCAGGAAAAAGTGAATAAATTGCAGCTTTATTTCCCTGCTCTGCAAGCTCTTAGAATTTGTTGATACTATGTGATTTAGTACTCTGTGATCCAGGTAGTTCTGTAATCTATTACAAATGCTCCTGTGATCCTTCCAGCTTTTAGGTTTACACCAAAACGTAAACTGATTTAATATCAGTGATAACCATTAAATTGCTATGTGCAATTCATTTAATAAAGACTTATCTGATTAAGTTCATAATACATGTTATAATATTCCTAAAGGAGACTCTTACCTTTTTTCCTCTCACACTGTTTCTTTCATTGGTCAGTTTCCTTAAGTATTTCTAAAATATTTAATCACTAAGAGTTTCACTTTTCGTAACTACTGACTCACTCTCTACACTGCTACCTCGAAAAAGCATTTAGGAAAATCAGCTTTTTTCACAAAAGTAATCATACCACATGTAGTTAAGGGCATGCAAAAAGACGACCCTAACTACTAGAAGTCCAGATGAAATCATGAAATTAACTGACTCCTGCATTTTGCAGGACTTAAGGATGACATGCTGAGGGATTTGAAGATTAGTCAGCTAGTGACAGATTTTTTTTTTATTTTGTTGCTTTTGATTTCATAGATTTAAATTACTGATGACATCATGGAAATATTGGCAAATATGAAAACTTGTTGAAAACTGCCTTCTTCAAATTACAAATTGGGACATAACAGAGAGGGGAAAAAAGAGAAAAAAAATCACATGAAACATACATACAAATGATATGTCAAATATTCAATTATAATTGTGTCTCAGATTGAGAAGGGTATAAGAGCACAGGAATACTTATCCTTCTGCTAAAAATGTCATTCTTTTGCTATGGGACATCCTGTTTTGCTTTGGTATTGGACCACATTCATACTATGGATCAGCCTCCTTTAATTTGTACTGTGTTCCTGTTTTGGAGCATTTTTTTTCTAGGCATGTTTTTCCTTTCACTCCTTGTGAAACAAGAGAACTTGTCTCCTAACATCAGTTCTGGTTCCCTCAAAGCCTTCTCTTTTTCCCCTTGTGACATGTTTGTCAGGTATTCCTCTGTGCATGTCTCACACATCACCCATCCACATGGCTGAATATCTAAGATTTGACAGACACAAATATATAGAAATGTAAGGTCTTTTCATTACTGTCTTTGTCTTCCTCCGTATTTCAAGCTTGAATACTAAAAATTAATTCACATTTTCATTACAAAAGCACTGCTCCATTTTCATTTAGATTGGTCCTGACCTTCACACTCATTTCAGAAGAATGAAGGTTAACGGTACATTTCCGATTCCAGCCAAGATATTTTGGCATCACTCTTTAAGTCATCATATTTCAGTTCCTTTCTTTTCAGTTCCTTTTCTTTTTCTACTTTTTTTTTTGCCTTCCTTTTGTAGTTTTTCAAGTAACCATTACACTTTTTATTTAATCAATTCAGTCTATTTTGCACTTTCTAAGCCATAATAGAAATGCTTCTTGTGAAGTCCAAGTTGATCTCTTCATTTAGGAAAATGTCTGCAGCACCTTTTTGCCTCCTTCCAGTTTTATTACATTATGTTTGATGACTGTCAAGGAAACACTGACTTTCCTACTTTTCCTCTATCTGTATTTCAATTGCTCCAACAGACTTTTACAGGATACCTTATACTATTTCCTTACAAAAGCTTTTCTTTGTGTTAGCAGTTACTTCTGTAACTCTTTAATACCTAAGTAACCTCTAGATCTTTTTCTTACTTTGATCTCCTCATTCACAGGCAGCAAGTTTCAATAAAAATGGCTTCCATTTGACTCTTCAGATCAGTGGTTTTTGTGCAAGGAAAGACACAAGCAAATCAAGAGACTTAAATAATGGCATAGAGAGAAGTGATGACAGAAGGGGGAAAAAACAGGGTTTTTTATTCATACTCCTACTGTTATTATCAGTTTTCTAACCTTAGGTTTTTCTTCAGGCTTTGGGAGTACTGGTTTTCCATCTTTATCCTGAAAGTAAAAAAAGCAAGTATTTTCTAGTATTGTCAGGTATTCCTCTGTGCATCTCTCACACATCACCCATCCAGATGGCTGAATATCTAAGATTTGACAGACACAAATATATAGAAATGTTCCATATTCCATAGTTACCTCAAAATAATAATATGAGACAACCAGACTAAATCAGTACAAAAACATAGTCACAAGCATTCTCCTAAAAAGAGGTAGCTCTTACATCACCAGGTTAGCAGATTAAAATATATATATATTGGGCTGTCAACACAATAAAAATGGGCCAAGAAACTTGAAAATAAGTGTTCATTCCTATTCAGGAATTCCTCAATATTCAGTATGAACTAATTCTATAGGAAAACAGCAGAAATTAATCTAGTAAAAAGGTAATTTCTGAGTGAAAAAGACAAACTTCTTCACTTGTGCTAAGAAGGTGTTATATTCCACATTCCTGGCTAGACAGCCTTGAAATCTCTAATTAAGGGGTTAAAGTGCTCCATTCAAAACAGTTCCACAAGCAACAGTTCACATACCAATTTGTTAATGTCAATTATTCTAACAAACATTAAAAATTAAAAAATTCAGTTCTGTAAGTGAAATTGAACTATACCACAGTTCTACTGCTGGTTTTCTTAACCATGAGCAAATCTCCATCACTTTAATTTCCAATCTGAAGAAGTATTTTCCGTACTGTTTTACATTAGTAGTTCAAGGCTACACTGAAAATGGGTACCCAAGAGCAGTTTTCCAACACTGAGGCTGAATATCAGAAACAAATCACACCACTCTTCAGGAAGGAACACATGAGCTGGGAAGATCCTATCTTTCTTGAGGATGTCTGAAAAAATGTAGTCATACTCATAAAGGAAAGGAAGGAAAGTAGAGACACAAGAATTATCTAGAAGGTAAAGTCACAGGTTGAATACATTACTATAGCTTGTTTTCCACACATTCTGTCCCTACCTGTGACCAAAAAAAGTGTTATAGGCAACTGTCCTATTTATAAAGCAGCAGAGATTTTTAAAAACTTACCAGCTCTGGAGTCAGCCTGTAGTCTGGAGGTATTGTATCATCACGTTCTCCAGCCTTTTTTTCTTTTTTCTCTTTAGCTTTTGCCTGAAAATAGAAAGTACAAAAAATACTTACTTAGAGAAACAAAAACATATCATACATTCAACATCACTATCAAGATAGTTCAGTCAAAGAAATACAGGCATCAGATAAAAACGTTCTGTGTAACAACATATTCAAGTTCATAGTATCATAGAATTGTTTGAGTTGTAAGACAGATTAAGTCTAAATGTCACTTGTACAGCTCCCTGAAACAAACAGGGACACCTACAGCTCAATCAGGTTGCTCAAAGACCTATCCAGTGTCTAGGGACAATGCGTCCACTACCTCGCTGGGCAACCTATGTCAGCACTGCACCATGATTACTATTAAAAAAACCTTTTTTCTTATATTTAAAGTCTTAATCTTTTAGTTTAAACCATTTCCCCCTGTCCTATCACAACAGACCCCACTGAAGAGCTTGTCCCCTTTTCTCCAAAAGACCCCCTTTAAATACTGAAAAGCCATAGATAACGTGAATTCCTCAATTTATTCTTACCCAGTTACTGTGACAAAAATAAGAAAGGACTATATTTTGTTTTATCTTTTTAAATGCATGAAGTTCCAGCTATTGTTCACAACTGTAACTTCATAGCCAGTATTTTTAGACCTTTTTGAAAGTATAAAGTCCTTAAGTTTCCCTGAATTGCATCACGCTGACAATACAAAATGCAGTTTGTCATCAGCTACTTAAACACAGCTTTTCACTCTCTGGACCTTCTTCATGAAGTAATGCATCCACCAAGATGTATGTAGGCCCAGACTCAATCTGCAATACAACATGCTCTTGTTTGTCAAAATTATACTCTAACATATCTTGTCAGTAATAATTATCTTTCTGCTATTTCCCTGTCATTTGCCTGCTTCGAGCTGTAAGTGAAGATGGGAGGAAAAAAGTATTATTAGTGGGCTTATATAAACAGAAACTGCAAAACTGAATAAAAAGTCAAAGTACAACATGCAAAATATGGCTACTGCAGAAATCTTACTGTTGAAGGAAAAAAAAAGACTGAAAAGACAGAGCTAAAGGCAAGACTCAGATTATAAAGACAATGGAATTTGGTGGACGAAGAAAAACATCTCACAAAACATCAAAACGATTTATGAAAAAGTAATATATGCAAAGCAAACATCTAGTATTAATTGTACCCTAGTGCACTGGGAACAAAACAGAGGAACTGTAGCTAACACAAAGAAAGGTATATTTATTCATATCTATATAGCCAAAAAAGAAAATTCTTTAATTTTACAGAATGTCATATGATATTCTACCTCATTCCACTCAGGATTCTGTAATTTCTAAATTTTTCAAACCAAACTGGACTCAGACATTCCTTTTGGCATGAAAGTTGCTTTGCTATTATTTACATATTTGTACAATATCTAACAAAAAGGATCTAAGATTCCATGGAAGACATATTTTTTTTACTTTTTAATGGAGCAAGCTCATACCTCTGACACCTCTACAACAGTGCTAACATCTTCTGGTTCGGGTTCAGGTTCAGGTCCACCAATAGTAGCCATTAGAGCTTCCATTGCATCCTCTCTGATTTCCTGTATTTACAGAAATATGCAGATTTTTTTTGTTATTTCTTTAAATGAACAAAAACACAAACATTTTGCTGTATTTTACTGGCAAACAGCCAGCACCACACTGATCATTTTGACTTTGCTACATTTGATTTTTGTAACACTACACTGAAGCATATGGCAAATTGTGGAGAAAAAAAATGTAATGTAACAAACATTCTCTCTAAATAAAAAAAAAAATGAACAGTTTGTAAAATGTTGGGAAACAAAATCACATCCAGATTTTAAACAGTTTCCAGTTTAAAACAGCTAAGAAAATTTACTATACTCCTCCAGTCAAAATAAGAGTTATTCTACAGAGGATAGAACAATCTGATCCATCAAGACCAGATCTTTCAAATGCTGGGTAGTCTGCACCATCAGAATTCCTAACATTTCCCTACTTTCCTGGCTAAACAGGATTTTCAACTAAAATGAGGCTGAGAAGTATCTTTATAATACAAGGCAACTGAAATTTTAATTACAGGTTAACTAGTCAAAAGATAGACCTTTATACCTCTTTTGATTTTGTTTTCTTCTCTTTAGGAGGAACTGAAGTCTTCACTGAACTTGCTGCTTGTGCTTGTATGATTTCTCCTTCCTTAGTTTGTTTCTTCAATGTGAGAACAAAATGAGAGGGATTTAACTACAGGCAAATTTACAAAAATATTTTTCAAAAGGGAAAACTGTCAACATTATTTTAGAGTAAAGCATTATGATAAGAGAAGTACTTCACTACAATAGAAGAATGCATGGCGAAAAAAAAAAAATATCAATACCTCTGTTGTCTTCTTTTCTTCAGCAGCAGCAATACTACAGGTAAAGTCAGATGACAGGGCATCTGCAAGCTCATCATCTGTCATTGGTTTCTGAATAAATTTTGCAAAGTAGGTTATGATTAGTGAAGTCCAAATATCAGTGCTGTCAAATTTAGTTTAAAATCTGAACACGTTTCAAGCTTACTCAAATGATACTTCTCCTCATTTTTTCATTCATTTATTCAGACAAGCACTGATTTTTATATATTGAACTTACAAGTAGCTAAATTAAATCAGCTTACAGAATTATCTTGTAAGTATAAGCATTTGTAAGTATAAGTAATCATTGCTAAAAAGATTAAAGAAAAACTATTGTATGCACACTCAATATATCTTCTCTGTGTTATTATTATGACAATTATTTTGTCCCTTTAATCCAACACGTTTGAAAGCATTTATTGGTCTGGATTCATTTTCTGTCAATTCCTACCTCTTTACTAAAAAGCGAATAAGCAAACAAACAAAAAATCCCTGTGCCCAATTCTTAGTTTTATCTGTATCTATGTTATCTGACAGCCCACAGGCCAATCCCACTTCCTGGTATTACTGGAAGACATACACGATTTTAATTTTCCAAGGAATCCTATGATAATTGGTTTATTTTCACCTTGCAATACACACATAAAGAAAGACTTACTTCAGAAAGTTCATCCACTTTTGGTAGGCCTCCATCTTTGCCATCCACTTTGCTCTAGAAGGAGAATTGATTTTGTAGTAAATGGGAAACAAAAATATACAGAAAGAAAGAAAACAGACAAAGAATTGTGTGTTTTGTTAACTCACAAACCTTCAATAATGCAAGGTAATCTGGAGGGAGGCTACCTTCTCGTTTACCCAGTTCTTCCAAGTATTCCGAAGAAATATTTTCCTTTGAAAAGAATGTACACACCAATGCTTTTATACTACTGTTTACTGAAATAAATTTATAATTTCTAAGTTTTCTCATCTATCTATAGTGACATTTTTTGGAAGAAAATAAAAGCATTGGCTAGATCACAGGACCATTACTAAAAACTAGCTATATAGTATCTTTCAGAATCTACTGTCATGCATATGTATATCAAATAGTTTCAGCTATGTACATCATCTAGCAGAACTCTATTAGATTATTTCTGGAATAAAGTCATTTAAAGGTATCAAAGTATATGTTAATCTACATATACTGAATTTTAGATATTTACTAATCCCAACTTGTTTGTTTTGGATGAGTACTGAATTAGACTTGCAATCTTAATTGTCCTTATATGACTCTCCTATTTTAACTCTGAAAATACGCTTTCTTCCTCAAATTCTCAACATTTTACTCTCTTGTAAGTAGATATGAAAGCTCCTAGACTCTTTATTCTCTTACACATCCATTAATGCCTTTTGTAAATGTGCTGGAAGATTGTGCTTGGAAGTCAGTTCAAGAAGCAACTTTAAGTAAGTCACTTACTTAACCATGTCCTGCTGCAATATATACATAATTATACCATTTCTCTATTACTGAAAACCACTAGAATGCAGCTGTTTAAAGTCTCTTACACCTCTTAGCAGATCGAAGTAACAATTACTGCATCACTATACCAGTGAGCAACTGCAGACTTATCTTAGAGCTGAATTTTCCAAAAACTGGGAAGTGTTAAATACCGTAATTTCCGGACCAGTGTAAACTGGTCTAGTAGCCACATCTTCTTCAGATCCACCCAGTGTATCTATTAAGCTGTCCAGTGCTGATTCATCCATGGCAGGCTAAAAAATAAGCAGAGCATTATAAAACATGCTATCCCATGGAAAGAAAAGAATCATCTGGTGAATCTGTGGAGAAACTTTAGAAACTAGACTAGAAAGTTTCTTTGTGTAGGTCTAGTATTTGCAAGTATTTTCAACAAAAGCTCTTCTTAAACTCAATTCCTGTGTCAGTAACAAGATCTTTGCATTTATATACTAGCTGAAATACATATACAAATATAAGTGAGAAATAAAAATTAATTTTATGCTTCTTGTGGTAAAAGTAACTGTAAATCAATCAGAACGCAAATGCCATGCCATTAGTTGTTTACCTTTTCCTTCACGTAGTCCTTCAATCACAATCCATAACTACTAGAAAGCAATACTTCAGAAATTACAAATTTATTTTTGCTGAAACAGGAAAGTTTCAGAAAAAGAAACATTCCCTGAAGTCAATTTACAATGGAAGCATTTCTTTAGGATTGTGTTGACCAACCTCAGTATTTGGTTTATCAGCTGCAGCAACCATACTAGCAACAGCACCTGCACCCACTGCAACTGCACCATCTGCTGTGGATGTCTTTTCAGCCTGGAGAAATAAGAGAAGAATTAAGAGATCATTTCATTATGTGATCCTGTATTAAAAATTCTACAGACAATACAAACTGAAACAGATATTGTACTCAGGCACAACTATCTACTGTTCCTCATTATCTACACTTTCATTAAAAAATATATATATATTTCCACATACTGTCTGAAGGGTTTGGAAGCTGGATATGTGCAGTTTGCAGATACTCAGACTAGCTGAGAATGTTCAATTCAGAGGCAAAATCTACTTATTTTGGACACAGCAACTGGTTTATGCACCTCCACAGAATCCAAATGCTTTGGCAGAATGATCTCACCTACGTGCAATATTCTGGAATGATATGCTGCTTCCAGCATTTGATCACAGCACAAAGTGTGATCTTGTATGCAAAACCCACGCAATTTTAAGTTTTGTTTGTTTGTTTGTTTGTTTGTTTTCCAGCAAAGAAATTTGCAGTGCAATAAGATTATGGGTTCCCTTCCAAGCCCCTTTTTAAAGCTTTCATTTGCATCTACATGGTGGTTTTTCAGCAAATACTGCTGAAATAATTAAGTGTAAGCTGTCTATTTATTGCAACAGAGAGTTTAGTAATGGAACAACATCAATACAGACTTCAGACTTCTACACTGCTGACATTTACTGTGAAAAACAAAAACAAAAGAAAACGGTACATTGTAGTAGAGCTGCAGGAGTCCTTCATGGTACTCTGGTGTTGTCACCCAGATGCACACAGATGTGAAGACCAAAAGTTGTAGATCCTTACTCTACCAGACGTTTTTGCTCTAGTATTTTCCCCACTTGCCCTTCTGAAATGATACCTCCTCAACTTCTTCCAACATTTCTCCTCCTAATTTTTTTTTTCCTACATCTTTGCAGCTAGGCCTATTCTATTGCAAACATATAACCTGCTGATCTTTGCATTTGGATTAAACACTGCTATTTCAAATACACTTTAAACTGTACAGATAGAGAAGAACCATGCTGACAGTGCTCACATCAATAAAGCACTGATTACATGGTCCCTTCTGCTCACTTTTGGTAATAAAGGTGCAGGGGAAAAGACTGAAGAACCAGTCACTCCCATGTAGCTGCAAGAAACATGCAAAAAGCTTCTATGTGGACTGAGGAGTCCCAAGAATGTAACATACAGGAAAACAATGAAGCAGGGCTACAGCTGTAGTAATCTGCATATTGCTTGCCGGAATAAAAGTCACAGTGTGTTAAGCAATGTAAAAAGATGTACAGAGAGGATAACAAAGTGGACGCACATCAGGATTAGCAAACAAGTATAAACTACCAACACTATCTGCCACTGAAGCTGTATGTGCTCTGCAGCCAATCCTTATCCATTAAGGTTCTCATGAGTTAGCTGGAATTGGTATAGCCAGGGGGTTAATTTAATCTGTGAATAGAATTTGAAATTTCTAGTGTCTCAAATTTAGAACAGCACAAAAAGAGGTCTGTCACATGCATCTTTCAACTTAATATAGTTTCTGAGTTTTTCCTACATTTTGACTTTTGGAGGCTATCTTGCTTCATAATGTTCAGCATAAGAATCCATCTAGATGCAGAATTCTAACTTTTATCCTAACATAAAAAATAAAAATTGGATTGCTACTTTTACTATACCTGTGCTGTGTCTGAAGAGGTTGCTTTTGAAGGCCACTCAGCTTGACTTGTAGTTTCCTTCCCGGTATTATTTGGCTTAAAAGCTGTTACCACAGAAGGTGCAATTGGGCTTTTTGCCTGTATGGAGAGAAACCATTATCAATAGATTGGGAATACATATACACATACACAAATAAACAAAAGTAAAGAGTATCAGAGAGGGACGGTTATAACTTACACCACTGGATTCCTTTTGCTTCTCTTCAACTGGTTGATTATTTTGAGAGCTTGATGGCTGTCATAAAAGAGAAACTTCTGATCATTTACCACAATTCAATGCCAGGGAACATGATCTACAGTATGTAAGTAAATAAATCTATAAATAAACATTCTTATATAAACATAAACAAACATAACCGGAAGTACATGAGAAGAAGATTTATTCCTATCATCTACTAAAACTCAGAAATTTGAATGGGAGGAGAATGTACTTACTGCCCAATACACCCTCTGAAGTGGACAATCCTTTAAATACTTTTGTATAGCTTGTTTTAGGGAAAAAAAAAAAAAAGATGCAAGACTCTAACTACAGGCACATTTTTAAAATGGCAGTCTTAAAAGAGGTTCTTATTTTTAGCCAGCTATGCAAAAAATATGCTTCTACTGATACACAAGTGCAGTTTAGAGGAGACAAAGATGATTCATCTTTCAAACTGTATTCGCATTAAGGTATTTATCTAGAGAAGCCATCACAGGCACAGCCATACCTAGGATACTGTAAGTAGAAAAGCATGCTTACTCCACTCTCTAATACTCATTTATCCTTTAAAAAAAGTTATTTTAAATTATATATTCAACTAGTGCAAACTAAAAAGTGAATTAACTTTTCTCACATGCTCTTGATAAACTACATCTCTCCAACCAATTACAGTCTGCCCTGTTTTGCAATGTAAGCCTGAAGTAACTTCAGCCCTCTGGGTTGGATGGCTTTGGGGAAAGGAATTGATTGTTTCCATTTCATACTTGCGATATTTTGTTTTTCTGGAATGTGGGAAGGGTAAAACAAGGAGAATGTGCAGAAAAAAAATGAATTAACTTTAATCCTGTCTACAGTGAGCAAATCTATTTGGCCTACTGCTTGTTTCTTTCCAGATAAATCTGCCTAACAGCAAGTGACAGACAAGAAGTCCACATTTCAGGACTGATATCCAAACAAATTTGAAAATATATCCCAAGGCTGGTAACTGGAAAAATGAGAACACCAGCTTTCTCCATATTTTCCTGCCCACCTTTCATCTAAATAAGCACAAGATGGACTTCCTAAGCTGCTGTAAAACAATAATGCATACTGACTGCTTTCACAAAGCACTAGCTAGCTCATTTGCACTCAGGTTTGTTACAACTCATTCAGCAGTTTCGTGCAACAAATTAGTGGCTAAGAATTTATCCTATTACTCCAAAGTCAGTCAAAAAATGAAGTGCAACACTTACTAAGAGTGAAAAGTAAGTACTCACCTTCACTGACTGTGCAGTTTTTTCAGGTTCTGTTTGGCTCGTTGGTGTGGGCTGAAAGGTAACAAATTTATATTCAGACAGAGATTTAATATATTTGTGTATTTCTAATGTGTGAGCTAATTTAAAGAGAAATATTAGATTGGTTTGCACCTGTGCAATGCAACTAGTATGCTGCAGTTTAAAGACCTGGCTCTGACTTTCACTCCACTGATCTAAGAACTGTCAATGTATACAAGCACACACAAACACTCCTCGTACCCAAGAGTCGAAGGAAAGGTTACAAAGCCAATAAACAAACAAAATAAACAGATCAATTTAAATATGAAAACTTTCGGAAGCCATGCCACAGAATCGATTCCTATGATTCACCTCAAGTATGGTAAGCTCTAAATTAATACTAACAGAAACAATTAAGAACGAGCACTGAAAAGCCAAAAGATAGCTCTATATGATGAGAAGAAAGAAAAATTGAAGCGTAACATCTTTGTCACAGACATGGACAGCAGGATTGAGTGCAGCCTCCGCTAGTTTGCAGACACCACCAAGCTGAGTGGCCAGTCATGTTGGAGGAAAGAAATGTCGTACAGAGGGACCCGGGGAGACCTGAGAAATGCCCATATGTGATTCAACAAGGCCAAATGCAGGATGTTGCACTTGTTTTACGTCAATCCCAGATACAAGTACAGACTCAGACAAGAGCTCAATGAGAGCAGCCCTACAGAGAAGGACTTGAGGCCTCTGGTACACAAAAAGCTGGACATGAGAAAGCAGCGTGCATCTGCAGAAGGCCAACTGCATCCTGGGCTGCATCAGGGAGAAGGGGGGGGATTGTCCCTCTCTGTGCTGCCCTCATGATGTCCCATCTGGAGCACTGCATCCAGGCTGATACCCCCAGTACAATAAATACATGGAGCTGTTAGAACAGGTCCAGAGGAGAGCCACAAAGATAGTCAGAGGCTGGAACATTTCCCATGAAAAGACAGGCTGTGGGAGCTGGGCTTGCTCAGCCTGTAGAAGACTCCAGGGAGACCTCATTGTCTCCCTGGCCTTTTAGAACCTTTACAGAGCATACAGGTAAGCTGCAGAGCAACTTCTTACGAAGGCATGTCAGTGACAAGGGGGAATGGTTTTAAACTTATAGAAGGTAGATTTAGGTTAGATGTTAGGAGAAAACTCTTTACTCAGAGGGTGGCAAGGCCCTGGCCCAGCTGCCCAGAGAAGCTTTGGTGCCCCATCCCTCAAGGCCAGGTTGGATGGGGCCCTAGGCATCCTGAGCTGGGGGGGGGGGAGCCTGCCCATGGCACAGAGGTGGGAATGGATGGGCTTTGAGGTCCCTTCCAACCCAAACCATTCCGTGATTCTATGATTCTAAGTGCTAGCTGATTCATCACAGCTTTCTCACTACTTTGCTTTTGCTGTTGCTACTTTAACTGCTCTATGATTAACAAATGAAGAGTCAGCATGGTTTCTGGAAAGCCATCAGAGGACACCAAAGAGAAGGGAATTCCTGTAAGTGTGAAACCTCAGAAGCACTGCAGAATCAACTGGGGAGATGGTTTGTTCAGAGAAGACTAATTTAATTCACTGCTAGAAACAGCACTAAGTGCAAAAAATCTAAAAGCACACATGGAGAACTACATGGCCATATATGTGCAACAGAGCCCGAATTCCTACCCTGTCACCCAGAGAGGAAATCTGCAGTTGTGGGGCACAACTCGATGGAGCAGTGGGAGCAGAACAGCCCATAGCAGCTGAACGGTGGCAGCAGACTGCCTTTTACACCTACTCATGACTGTGCTTTCTCCACAGCTGACCAGGCACATCTGAAGTATGTGTCATTGCACTGTATCCACATGCAGTAAGACAGGTTTTGAACTCAGGAAATACAGCCTCAGATAGAAAAGCCTTCCTTATTCCTTTTATCCTAATAAATGAGCACATTTAAAGTTGCTAAGAGACAAACAACACATTGGCTTTTTCCATCAGCCTATTAAAAGTCAGTGAGCAACCAAATAACATTATATTAGCCTGTAATTTAGATTTGTTTGTTGGTTTGTAATCTTTCCCTATTTCAGCTGCCAGCCATTAATTACCATTTAGACATACCTAGCTTATATTTGATAGCTGCCTAGATAAAGAAACTGTCAAAACTTGTTTATCATTTGTTATGGTAGTATTTACGCCCATACACTGGACCATACTGGTTGTGAAAATGTGAACATGTGCAGAAGTGTAGATACTTGGGCACAAGCTGGGCGGAGGCTTGGAAGCTACAGAATGGAGCACATCACCATATGACATTCAATACCATACAAGATAAACAAAACACAGATAGAGAGCAGGATCAACAAATTTCTGTGCTACAAAGTAGTGAAAAAATAAGTATTAAAAACAATAGTAATAGTCACCTAACCTCACAGATTTCCCCCCTTTGGAGTTTATCTTGATGCCTACATGGATTAAAACTCAATACTTGACAGGTTCATACTCTATGCGCTCCCACTTGTGCATTATTGTTATTTGACCACGGTACGGCTAACTCAAAGACACAGGCATCCAGTTGTGTAAAATCCTACACTGCAATCATAAATTTTCAGGTTTTGGCTCAAACAGGTTGGATACATTCATGTAACATCTAAAGCAGAGAATCAAACTGACAGGAGACAACCTTCGGCAGCATAATGTTAGAGAAATGAGAGCAGAGGTACACAAAGCATAGTTTGACTTTTCCTGCTGCGGGAATGTTGCCTGCTGGATGCTTGAGACCTGAAGCAGAGCACAAATTTCTGTTTTTCTTACATGCTTTTCAGAACATTAAACACACCTTTTTTTTCAGAATAACAATTAAAAAAAAAATAGAGTGCTTGCAATTCTGTCGATATTTGAGGAGAATATCGAACACGAACATAAATTCTCAGCTTTACAACCTAGCTATTTGCAACTACATGTTATTATTTTTGCATATTGTAAGTAGTATTTTACTTCATCTATTTTTATAGTAGGGTATACACTATTTGTTATACTTGTTTATGTTTTAAACTGTACATCTCATACTCTAAGTTTATCTATTTCAATACTTCAGAATATACGTGGGCTCACAAAAGCAACACTTTGATTCAAGACTCATACACACCTTAAGATGCTAAACATTGAACATGTGATCATGAATAAAAAATGCTCACACAAAGAGATACTTATTTAGATACACTTTCAGCAGCAGCAAAGTTCAAATCCAATAATAAATAATTATTACTAGGCAGGTCAAGGCAGAGTTTTCTCTATTTTAGTATGAGACTACACATTCAAAGGCAAATATTCAGTCAATTGTGAGCAGTCACAATTACTTACGGGTTGTAAACTGAAGCCATAGCACCAGTTCACAGCACAGACCAAAATCCCTTACTGAGATGATGTTCTACTTCCCCTTCTACTGCTGCTTTACCTGCACTGTGTCAGGACCTGAGGGACCAGATACTAAACTGACTCAGGAGACTGAAAAGTGGGTTAGAAAACAAACAAACAAACCCCAAGCTGCAGTAAATCACAGCTTTCTCAGAGCAGCAGAAAACAAGCCTAATTCAAGACAAAGGATTCATTTGCAGAACTGGAAGCTAAAGAGATGTTCAGAACATATTTAAGGATAGTGGGTACACTACAGGGATTCCAAAAAAGAGAAATGGGACTTGTTTACAGCAGGCCAATTAGAAAGGAATTAGTTTGCCAGAAATTCAGAACTAGAAATGCAAACTAAGATTTAGTAACACTATTTCTCTTCAAACGAGTCTACTATCAAAATGCAGGTAACTTGCCTAATCCAGCAGGTGAAACGACATTAATAACACAATGCATTAGAAGAAAACATCTGTTATCTTACACATGGAAATACAGGACTATGTTTTGAAGTGGTTTGTGTTTGACAGCCTTTTTTTTTTTTGTCAGTGCTCAAGTATATGTCTCTGCTGCTGTTTCATCTTGTAAACACTTTAAAGAGCTCTCTAAAAATTTACCACATTATTCTGAATTATTTGAAATTTTAAGTAGAGAAAAGGTTTTAAAAGATCTAACAGCTAGCTTCATACACAAAGAAGATGGACCTAGACTATCCTCAGAGGTGCTGAAAAGACAGCAAAGGATTTTCCAATTCAGTAAAAGGTAAAACAAACAAACAAACAAACAAACAAACAAAAAAACAACCATAATGAAGGTGATGAAACATCAGAATTGGCAACAACTGCACAATCCATACACTTAGAGGTACTCAGAGTTTGGAAGGTCTTGAGCATCTGAAAGCTTCCTAGGTGGCTCTGCTCTGACTGAGGGGCTAGATAAGATTATATCCAGATACCTGCTCTAATCTTGCTACTCTAAGCATTTTTTTTTTGTATTTAATACAAGATGCAGACAGTCATAAGTTTCACCACTGCAGAGTTTGCCACTGATCTAGGGTAGTATTCTATAATTTTGTTGGATTCACTGATATAATTATGGAAAATGGTGGGAGAACATCATTAAACATTTCCTGAAATATTCATAAATTGTAGTAGGTGAAAACAGGCAAAGTTAGGCTGGCTGTCTTTAACAAGAAAAGCACGCCCATCTACTATGACAAGGATGACTGTATTCCAACTAGTAAAGCACAAGGATTGATTATACACCTTCTATACAGAAGAAGTCGTAGTCACAAGACTGACCGAAAACAAGTACGAAGAACAAAAGCAAGGATGCTATCAGACAGCCAACAATAGGTGATTCACAAGAAAATGCAGTCTGTGAAATTATCATTAGGTGAATAAAACTGTAATTACACTGGGGGGAGCTATATACATGTCATGAAGCAAGACTGCACTAAAATTTGGCACTGTTTTCATAAAACAAAGTCCTTTGTACAGCATTGTTTAGATTTTTTTAAATGAAGAAACTAAGCTGTAGACAAGAAATATGCAAAGCAAAGTTAGTCAGTATCAAAGTATGAAAAAAGAAATTCCGCTGCTTTGCATAATTCTGCTTAGCTATAAGACTGCATGTCTCAGAAATCTGTACCTTTGCTTCTGATGGCTTCATAATGGGTGGTTTTGATGCATCCGCAGAGGGAGACTGCTTCTGAAAGAAAAAAAGCAAACAATAAATTCTACATACTTCCATACAGTAACTATAGGCAGCCAGAATTCATTAGATAAGCAGCCAGGAGTAAAAAATACAGTGTTACTGAAAATCAGATTTATCATTTTACATCTTCTATCTTGCTTGTATTTCTCCTATGTGTTTTTGCAGGATTCTGACAACAGATCTTGTAACAACACTTTTTTCCAGCACGCACCAAAGGCAAATTTCATATCAAGTATCAAAACAAACTCAAATTCTGCTCTTGTACTGAGCTTAAACCTACTATGCAGAGTTCTTACACATTTCAGATTTCTTCATAAAGTAATTATGCTTTTGGATTTACTAGTCAGTCACACAAAATATTCAGTACTGAATTGGAAGCTCAAATTTTTTGAGATGAGAAGGAGTGGTTATTTTCCATGTAACACACACCAAGAAGTGATCATACACATCATGCAATCCATTCAAAAGAGCTATAAACAACAAAGTCCACTCTCCTAGTTTCAGCAATGTTATCTCCCCAGTGTTACCCCCAACAGCAGATGTTTGACTTCTCCAGTAACTGTATCAAATTCTACAGCCCAGAAATTAATACTTTAATTCACTCATCAATACTTTACACAAATGCAATACTACCTCTCTATCCTGTTTACTGTTTCTCTGCTTGAAGCTGCATTTGCAAACTCAATTGCAGCAACGAGTTCACAGTTTGCATTTAAATGAACAGCACAAATAAAAAAAAAAATTGTACATTTCATTTTCTTCAGATGCTTACCATAGCTCTTACTGCACTTAAACATGTGTAGTCTGAAGGAACTCAGAGGCTGCATAACTATTCCACTCTTGGAGTGACCTCTTATTTCCACATAGAAATTTGAAATATTTCTTTTTCACAACATAACTATTTCTCAAGAATAACAAAATGTTGTACAAAATTTAAAAAGTATGCTATGATGACTATAGAGTGTTCTTCCTTGTAACACATCTGATACCTTTCTTGGTAAGAGGCTTAACAACTCTAAGTATACGACGGAGAGAATCTGCAATTGCCACACTAGAGAACTGTAATAATAATTTCCACTTCCACTTACATATATAAATAAAGACTAATTATATAATAGGTGAGAACTTTTGTATGAGTGGAGATGTACATTAGAATTTTTTAAAGCCTCCTATATCAGGACAAGGAACAAATGTTTCTGAATGATCTTTTTATCTGAATGATCTTTTTATATATTATCATCAAGTATTCTGCAGGCAACATCATGTTTTTCTTATTTTGCTCTGTAACACATTTTCCTTTTCTTACTCCTCCATGAAATTAATCTGAATTCCTTCTACATGACTAATACGTACGTATCTGCTCTACACCTCCGTATTAGTCATCCTAGTCCCTATTCATTTCACAGAGACACGTCTCTGTTTTCTGCACTGTATGATTTATTTATGATGTACGGGAACCTTATCCCTTCCTCCCCTGCAAAAAACTCCCACACCAACCCTTCTTCCTGCAACACGCTGAAAAACTTCATCAAGGTCCAGTACAGCAGCAGCACCTTGACCTGCAGATATCCACCACCACTGCAGTAGCTGACAGTGACAGCTAGGGGATAGAAAGCAGTTAATAAATGGCTGCTCATCAGCTGCTACTGAGAAGCAAAGTTGTACTTCTGTGTTCACAGACCACTTCTGCATACAAGGGCAGCACCACACTGCTGTGGTCTTCTGGCTCCCACAGAGCACAGTGTGCCTTGTTCCATCCATACAGCACCTTTTGCCCCAGTTCCCAATACTGAAGGCCTCTAATTTTCAAGTCTCTTCTTCCAAGGCCTTCTGTGCTCACAGTCTATAATCACACTAAGCCTCACAGGGTGGTGACACAGAAGGCTGCCATGGTCTAAATACGTGTTTCGTAACTAACACGCAGCCTATAAAAACAGTCTGACTCCTGCAAGTCCATTTTGGGTGACAACTTCTTACTGTGGGTTGTTCTGGTTTTCCTGTTCCAAGGCACACGTGCTTTACCCGGTAGTAGGGAAGCTATGAAAACACTGCATTTGCTGCAGCCCATTAATCAGACTGCAGAATGGGTGAAGTTTTGTCCTGCAAGCAGCATAAAAATGCATGTCAGGCTCAGAGGTAAACATTAAAATGCTGCCTAGCAACGAGGATAACAACTGCCTGATGTACAGCTGCTAGAGAGGCTCCAGCACAGCAAAGCATATTGTGCTCATGAAAAAGGATGGCAAACCCCTGCCACAGACTGTGCCAAAGAAACCTGCCCGGAAAAACAGAAAAGCTTAAACCATCCAACAGGAAGGGAAGAATAAGGAGAGCTCAGCTTCTGGAGGCAGAAAAACATGGACTGGGTGGCAGAAAACACAGTAATTCTTGCGTTGTTTCAGATGCAAAGGGCAGAGCCTACAACAAATGGAAAGACAGTGTCATCAGCACTGACGCTTTTCCTGTGGCTGCACACACAGCTCTGGCCCCTAGACACACAGTGATGCTGGCAGTGCCATGCAGCCCCTCGGGGCTCCTGGCAAGGGTCTCTACCTGCTTCCTAGTGCACAGCCCTTAGGAAGGCACTCAGAGAGAGTCCAGGCTGATGGATGAACATGGGAACAGACCAACAGAGCTCAGACACTGCTGACTGTGAGTTAAGAACAGTGTGTTCCAGGACGGTCTGCTGAGACACAGGGTCTGTCTGATAAGAGAAGGAATGCCCTTCAAAACTGGCCTGCCAAATGTAACAAGGCAGACCTTACACTAACGTTGAAAGAGAGCAGTGACAAAAGAAAAGAAAAAAAAAAAACAACAGCCCAAAATGTGAAAAATAAAAAAGCATATAACCTAGTCTCACTGAGTGTATTCCATACACACGGAAATAAAATGGACATAGTAACAGGAGAGGAGATCAAAGAAAGTAAAGGTAGGAAACATCAAAAGAGAATAGTTTTTACTATTTAAGGAAGTGAAGGTAAATGCCTCTTGGAAAAACAAAACAGCAAAAGAACCCTATGCCAGCTCTCAAGTTATTGAAAGCTGCAAATTACTGAAACTGTACTGCACACAATGCAGAAAAGGCCATTATCAGCTTAAACTGTTACTTCTGAAAATTACACAGAAAAGTATTGGTCAGAAAACAGTCCTTGCTCAGTCCTGGAAACAACTGTAAGGTGCAAGGTAGCAGCCAGCTCACTGAAAAGGAGATGCTGAAAATATTTATAGAATAATACACAAACAAACAGACGATAACAAGAGAATAAATTAGAATTAACAGACAGCATACAAAGTCAATCTAACACTGAATACAAATCAAATGTGGCAAAAAGCCTGATGAATAGGAAAGAAACTCTGTAGGACACTCCGATGTCGCCACAATTTTTCACGGTTCTTCGAAGGATATACTCTGGAGCAAACAGGGAGGTTACTCTGCTACACTTACAAACCTGCATTCCTCCAGCACAAGGGAAGAGCTTCAAAGAAGTCTCTGAAAGCACTGATGAAGCTGCACTAAGGTCGAAGTTTAGATGCAAAACAAGAGAAAACAAAAGCAAGAGAACAACAGAAGATATGCAGGCAGCACCATTGGACAGCATTAACAACAGAAACACAATTTTGCAGTACCACAAGCTGAGACACTACTGCCAAAAACAGACAGAGGGGAACCATGACAAATTCTGTAACTGATAATACAAAATACAGGAATAAATTTCCATCTTTCCAGCTTAAGCCACTCTGGGACAAGTGCTATGACAGTTCTGGCCATCACACTGCAGCAGAAACAGAAAAGAAATAGATCTGAAGACAAATTTGTGAGGGAGAAATGAAAAACTGAGCACGAGGACTGTGCACATTACAGAAAAGGGAAGATGCAGCTTTTGTCCCCTGGTTAAAGAGACAGAAGAAAAAAAAATGGGCAAAGAGGAATAATTCAGCTTAATATTGTAACAGATCAAAGTTGAGAGATTTTTCTTCTCAGGAGAACAGGCTCTGCACAGCAGCGCTGCCAAGATGAGCTAGGCACTTCCAGCACTGGAGCTTTTGGGCCAGCTCAAGCAAATGTCTGATTAGTGATACAGCAGCACTCAACACAGAAAAGAAGGCTAAAGAGCTACATGAGTACTCTTTAGGGCTTGCACACCTCTCATAAAGAGTTGGCGATACCTCCTAGGCTTAACAATTAATAAAAAAGTTATTTTTTTATATAATACTTCTTACAGTAAGTATTATTATCCTATACGTCCAACGATGCAGAGAAAAACACCTGCTGCAACAAAACAGTGATACATAAACGATTGAATGTGTAACTGTAAAATGGGCTTGGTTATTAATTATAGCTGTGTAATACACGGCAAAAATTTGGTTTGTCTGATTAAAGATGGTTGCTCTGTTAAGCAAATGGTTCTGTTTCTAACAGCGCGTGTGTGAGAAGCAACAAATCTTGTTTGGAGAACTATTCTAAAATAACAGTTGATTATTTCACTGCAGTATAAAATGCCATTTGATTTGTTTCATTGTTCAGGTTAGATCTCTCATCTGGATTATAGCACACTGCAGAAGTCTTTCAGCAGGCAGAAGACAGGTCAAGAATAGTATTTATGAACTATTAGTGCATTTAACAACACATTTTGTAACAGTGCAAGCAAAGCTATTTATATTTAAAACTGGAAAAAAATATAGCACTGAAACTCTAAGGATGTAATTTATATAATAGCTGAGTTAACAATTACAAATTTGAATGCTTCTATGGCTTTTCTATCCTAAATAATTCTGGAAGTATCCTATTATTCTTTAACTGCCCCTCTTACACAAAAAATAATTTCACTATTCAGTTGTTCAGAAAAACTTCTTTTTAACAGATGAAAAAGAGAAAATGAAAACTCAGGCTCTTATTAATACCGTGGAGACTTTATATTAGAAACATAACAACATGATATATTGAAATATGGATTTCTACTTAGTACCTGCCTATCAGTCAGGCTCTGGTATGT